AGGCTATCACACTATATTATAGTTAGCTTGCAAAACAATAAATCTGGAATTTAATAACTTCATAAAGATTTGATAAAACCATTTTTGTGTAAATTAGTATTTAATAGGAAAATATGAAATTAGATTAGTCAAACATATAAATTGTTATTATATGAAATGATAACAATTGATAAAACATACAGATTGGAAGATTAGGTGAATTTTTGTGATGAATAGGTGTGTTTGTATGTAATGCCTCTATAGTATATTCATAATAAAAATTAGTATACTATAAAAACTTGATTTGAGAAGAAAATTAATGTGGAATAAGAAGATTGTAGAGAAACGTCTCATTCTGTGAGACAGTCACAAATAATATCTCCTTACCATATCAAATCCTTAAATTTTATATATGCTATTTTTTTAATCTTTTAAAAATTTCTCTTTAACTCTCTTCAAAGACTTTCTTTTATGTCAAAAATTTGTTTCACTTTGCCCCAACTCATATACTCTAAAAATAATAACAATAGCCAAATATATAAAATTAATTTTTAATTCATTAAAATTATATTTATTCAAAGTAAATCCTCATATAAACTTCTATGAACCATCCTCATCTGTTAATTCAATCAAGTATTCTAAGAAATTTGGGCAATTTTCTTCGAATAATTGGCTCTCATATGATAAATCTATTAATTCAATTTTGTCATGCATAAAATCATACTTTCCGAATATGCAATAGCATTTTTCAAGAGCCAACAATAAATCAATTTTAAATCTTAGACTGTTATTATTAAATGATTCAAGTAGTCCTTCCTCCAATAAAAAGTGGTACATTATTTGTTGATCGTTCTGTGAAAATTCGAAATTTAAGATACAATAGCAAATTATCTGAACGAAAAAATTTTTCTTGCTAGAATTGTAATCATTATAATTATCAATAATATTTGAAAAAAGACCGCTATAAAAGATAAAATCTTGATCGAAATGCGTAAAAACAATGAAAAGTATCTGATTGAAGAATTCTGGAACGCTTTGGTCTAGACACCACCATATGTAACGGTTAAGAGAGAACTGTTGATCTTGCATTATAAAGTCTACTAGTGAAATTTCGTTATTCATTAAAGAATACAATAATGTACCTATTTTCTTTTGTTTATTATGTGTTGATTTGTTTTGCCATTGAAAATAACATAGATATGTATCATCGGATTCTAATGCTAAAATTTTAAAGTCGTAATAAATAACAATCCGGGTAAAAACAAGGATATTTTCGTCAAATGCATCTATTTTGTCAACAGGAAATGGTATCTTGGAGACACAATCACCAATATCAATATTTTCAACATCTTGTTTATAAGATTTGATATTCATTAAAATTTGATATAAAAAAGTAAATTCATTGCTCAGAAAATTGAGAAAATTGAGAGTAACCGCCAAATAAGATTTTTAAAAATAAAGAACTAAGGGTACAGTATATGAGAAGGAAGAATCCAAAATTTTATTTTTAAGGTTTTGCAAGAAATATTTTTATTAATAAACGGTAGAATAATAATAGGAATATCGATATTAAAAAAGAAATACATGAAATAAATAAAAATTTGATTCAACTTTGACAAGAATCACAAATGATTCTTCTCAAAGTTGCTCAGTGAACAACAAACACTTGTTATTGTTTATAATTCAAGTGAATGTTGTACACAAAGACAACAATTGTCTATCAATTGTTGTCTTTGATTCAACTTTGACAAGAATCACAAATGATTCTTCTCAAAGTTGCTCAGTGAACAACAAACACTTGTTATTGTTTATAATTCAAGTGAATGTTGTACACAAAGACAACAATTGTCTATCAATTGTTGTCTTTGATTCAACTTTGACAAGAATCACAAATGATTCTTCTCAAAGTTGCTCAGTGAACAACAAACACTTGTTATATAATTCAAGTGTTTATACACAAAGACAACCATTGTCTATCAATTGTTGTCTTTGATTCAACTTTGACAAGAATCACAAATGATTCTTCTCAAAGTTGCTCAGTGAACAACAAACACTTGTTATTGTTTATAATTCAAGTGAATGTTGTACACAAAGACAACAATTGTCTATCAATTGTTGTCTTTGATTCAACTTTGACAAGAATCACAAATGATTCTTCTCAAAGTTGCTCAGTGAACAACAAACACTTGTTATTGTTTATAATTCAAGTGAATGTTGTACACAAAGACAACAATTGTCTATCAATTGTTGTCTTTGATTCAACTTTGACAAGAATCACAAATGATTCTTCTCAAAGTTGCTCAGTGAACAACAAACACTTGTTATTGTTTATAATTCAAGTGAATGTTGTACACAAAGACAACAATTGTCTATCAATTGTTGTCTTTGATTCAACTTTGACAAGAATCACAAATGATTCTTCTCAAAGTTGCTCAGTGAACAACAAACACTTGTTATTGTTTATAATTCAAGTGAATGTTGTACACAAAGACAACAATTGTCTATCAATTGTTGTCTTTGATTCAACTTTGACAAGAATCACAAATGATTCTTCTCAAAGTTGCTCAGTGAACAACAAACACTTGTTATTGTTTATAATTCAAGTGAATGTTGTACACAAAGACAACAATTGTCTATCAATTGTTGTCTTTGATTCAACTTTGACAAGAATCACAAATGATTCTTCTCAAAGTTGCTCAGTGAACAACAAACACTTGTTATTGTTTATAATTCAAGTGAATGTTGTACACAAAGACAACAATTGTCTATCAATTGTTGTCTTTGATTCAACTTTGACAAGAATCACAAATGATTCTTCTCAAAGTTGCTCAGTGAACAACAAACACTTGTTATTGTTTATAATTCAAGTGAATGTTGTACACAAAGACAACAATTGTCTATCAATTGTTGTCTTTGATTCAACTTTGACAAGAATCACAAATGATTCTTCTCAAAGTTGCTCAGTGAACAACAAACACTTGTTATTGTTTATAATTCAAGTGAATGTTGTACACAAAGACAACAATTGTCTATCAATTGTTGTCTTTGATTCAACTTTGACAAGAATCACAAATGATTCTTCTCAAAGTTGCTCAGTGAACAACAAACACTTGTTATTGTTTATAATTCAAGTGAATGTTGTACACAAAGACAACAATTGTCTATCAATTGTTGTCTTTGATTCAACTTTGACAAGAATCACAAATGATTCTTCTCAAAGTTGCTCAGTGAACAACAAACACATGTATATACATAAATAACACGTGTTTATTGATCACAAAGACAACCATTGTCTATCAATTGTTGTCTTTGATTCAACTTTGACAAGAATCACAAATGATTCTTCTCAAAGTTGCTCAGTGAACAACAAACACTTGTTATTGTTTATAATTCAAGTGAATGTTGTACACAAAGACAACAATTGTCTATCAATTGTTGTCTTTGATTCAACTTTGACAAGAATCACAAATGATTCTTCTCAAAGTTGCTCAGTGAACAACAAACACGTATATAACCATAAATAAAACATGTTTACTTTACAAATACAATTATTTAAAAATTTTAATTATATCTTTTAATTTATATTTATTTACGTTCACATTTCTTTTATATCCTTTATATTAATATAAAATTTCGGTTGATCTTCACTCTTTTTCACATATTTTTTCAATAAAATACCCAATTTTTGTATTTATTCTGATTAATATTTTTCACTGTTAATTTTATTGATATCTCAAACTATTTCAACATTTAGTTTCTTAAAAACTCTATTTTTTGTTCTCTCTCTCAATTTTCAAAAGTCATTAATTTTGCATTACTTTATTTAAAATATAATTAACATTGGATAAAAACATTTATTATAATGCCATTTTGGATCAATCTTATGATATTTCAAATCTTTTAAAATACACTCATTCATAACAAATAGTTGCCCTAGACATGTGCGTAACCTCTGTGTACGATATTCCAACACCTTACGACCTGTATGCAAGTTTTTAATTATTGAATAAAAAAACAACAACATACCGTACTTCGAGTATAAAACATGTATACCCTAATAAAAACAAAAATTAGGACATATTTGATTTATGATTTCTTTTCACAAATCGAAATTTTGATCTCTCAATTTTAAACATTTTTCAAAAAAAAACTTATAAATATATTTCTTATTGTATAATATTGAAAAATAAATCATCATGGATGAATATTACTATTTATTTATTCGATCTAAATATAGAGTAGGTGACAAAAGTGCATACTCTTAAACAACCGTCGGATTTCCGGGTGAAATCGTGACACACTTTCGTCTTTCGTAGGCAGTGGTGGTTGTTACAAAAGGTAACTTCGAATGTAGCGTGAAATCTGCAAAAAAAATTCTGAAATTTGAATGGAGAACACAAAAATTGAATAGTTTACGTCAATAAAAAAGAGAAAAATGAAGCCAATGTGTCTCGAACCTAGGACTTAGAGCAGCAATCCCACTGTTTATCCCATTACACTACATGCATCTCTCACCTTAGTGAATGAGATCAACTATATGATAACTTTTTCCCCATTATATTCTTGTGGAAAAGTGACAAATAGCAACTTTGACCCTCTCTCTCTAAATATAGAAATAATATCTACTCTATATAAAAATAACAATTATTTAATTATATTGAAATTTTTATTATTTGATTAATATATTTTATGTGATATCTTAAATAGCAATAAAAACTACACCACATAGTTATTCTAGGGTACCTTCATCTACTTCTAGAATTATAGGCTCTGGATTCGAATCTATGGTGCGCTATTGATAAAGTAAATTTCTCCATAGGCCCCCAAAAAATTGACAACCCAGGAATTATAGGGTAATAAGAAAAAATCTTATGGTTCAACAAGATAAGTGAACATCTTTCCGCCTTTGACATCAATTTCACCACGTTCTTTGATTTGCAGCTCATGTAAAACCCCTTTTTAATATATTAATAATAATCTAGATTTAATAAAAACAAAAAAAATAATGAAAACAAAAAATCTTATGGTTCTACGAGATAAGTGAACATCTTTCCGCCTTTGACATCAATTTCACCACGTTCTTTGATTTCGAACTGTTGGCCATAGATAAGTTCATAAACTGGGCGGCTGATGTGGACTTTCATTGGGACACCTTTGTTCTCCATCTCGTGTGCCATGTTGATTGCCGGACCAAGGATTTCGAATGTCGGCTTCTCGGTGCCAATGACACCGGCGACAATTGGTCCTCCTGTGTTGATACCAACACGAATACGCAAGTTCTCTTTCTCGCGTTCATCGATCTCGAGAAGTTTCTTGATGACTAGTGTGCCGAAGTCGACAACTTCTTTAGCGTGAACTGCTGGCTGATTGACTTCATCGAAGATACCACCAGCAGCCATGTAACAGTCACCAATGCATTTGATCTTTGTCATTGTCTTGTGTGCATTTGTGATTGCATCGAATTCCTTGAACATGATATTCAACATTCTCATGACATACTGTGCATCATGAGAGCCACACCATGGTGTGAATTCGACAACATCCAAGAAGAGGACTGTTGCTGATTGGACTGAGAATGAGATGTTCTTTTCACCTGCTTGAACTCTTTGGACTAACATTGGTGGCAATATTGATGCCAACATTTGGTCTGATTTCTTCTTTTCATCAGCAATCAACTTCTCGTGCATCATGTTTTGTGTTTCATCTCTTCCTGAGTATATTCTTCTTCCACTCATGACTGATGTTGTCCAGTCAAGATAGATTTTTTCTGTGTCATCCTTCTTGAAGATGAGTTTCTGTCCTTGTGTAAAAACTTTCTCAATCTCTCCATCAGCAATGAATCTTCCTGATTTGAAGAAGTCTTTAATTGGTGTATCTCTGATTTCGTCTTCTTTGATGCCGAACATTGTTTCGAATGAGTTATTGACTGAGATGACTTTTCCTGTTTCATCTTGGCAGACAATAATGACTTCATTCAGCCTGTTGACGACATCATTTGTGAATTCGGCTGATTTCTGTGATTGATCATCGTGTGTTTTATATGTGTAGTTGCCAATCAACAAGTCCATAACACGTTGGTTTCCTAATGTTGCTGATGATGGACATTTGAGGAATAGCTTCAATGTGAACTTAAGGAGTTTATCTTCTTTCACTGCCATTACTATAATGATCAAAGACAAAAATGATGTTGAGATAATGAACATTGCTGAATAGAAGTTTTGTTCGAAATCTTCGCTTCCAATCTTTTCTACAATGATTGGAACAATTGATTCTTCAGCATGCCAGAAGAAAGTAAGGTATAGTTCAACAGGACCGATCTGCCAAAGTTGTGGTAAGTTCTGGTGTGATGGATTCATGTAATATGGATTAGGAACAGTCATCAAGCCATAATATCTCTTCATAATCATTGTTGCAACGTATAATTGCTGAGCTGCACTCAAACAATGGGTAGAATCCTGAAGTCTTGTTGGTGGCTCTAAGATATTGAAGCATGTCAAAGCATTTGATGCATCATTGATAGATTGTTGCATTTCACTAAATGGAATTTCTCTTCTGTCTTCACCACCTAATCTGATCATCTGGAAATATGAAACTAACATTGGAATTCTCTCTTTGATGTTATCTATCTCCTCATCAAGGCTGACAATTGATGGTCTCAATGCTGGATGGTACATTGCCATTGAAATCTTGAAGAAAGAAGCCATGATACTGTAAAGATAGGAGTTTGCACCAAAGAGATAGTTAATGTGATGGCAGTTATAAACAACATTCTCTGATGCAGAAATGTAGCTTTGCATTGAAACGTAGTAGCTCAAGCATCCCAAAACTGTGATCACTAGTATGCAGAAACCAATAACTAATTCAATTGATGCCTTTGATGAACCATCGGAAATACTGGAGAATAATTTAATGATACTCTCTTCTTGTTTGTTCAATTCGATATCATTTGATGAGGATGAAGATGTCATTGTTTTTGTTTCATCACCCTTCCTGCTTGTATACGAAGCAGAAATTGATGAAATAACTGTCTTTGGTAATGTTGTTAAAACATAAAGGACTTCATATCTGTTTCTTCTAAGTTTCTTGATCTGTAAAAGATAAATAGTTGGATAAATAATAGCACAAGCAACAATTGCTAAAATGATTGTAAGCTCGAAGTACAATTGATATGATTTGTTGTTCTTCTTCAAGAAATCAATCATTTCAAGAAGTGCTTGATTCAAAAGAAGCAAAGCATTTTGGCAATTGTTTCTTGCTGTTAATGAATCTGCTCCATTAGCAATTTCAACTGTGATCTCTGGAAGATCTGTGATTCTTCCAATAACTGCTGCAAGTTGATAGCTGATATCTGTTGTTGAAGCAAGAACATCATGTTTAAATGTATTGTTCAAATAATAGGAATAATTTGTGATCTTTGTAAACATAATATCTCTCACTTTTTCTATATGCGGATCTCCTACTTTGTAATTTCTTAATGGACTAACAACTTCACTCGCTGTTGAAACTGTTTGAGCAATCCAACGAATGATATCAATTGTTTTTGAGTATCCAGCAAAAGCATCCCAATTTAATGTAATTCGGAATGGAATTTCCATTTCAATCTTCTTTGATGGATCATATGGATCATCCAAACTCTGTAAAATGTATCTGCCTGCGAAAGCTGTGAGCATGCAAATGATATCACGAGTATCTGCAATACCTTTCATGAAATTGACTGGATCTTCTAAGACAACTGCAAATTCGTAGTAAACACCAAGCATAATGATAAGCGGAATAATGATTACAAAGAGCTCTGCAAGAACTGTTGTCCAAATGATAAAATGAATTGAAGGAATCTTGTGATTCTGAATATGCTTGTAAATTGTTTCAACAGCTTCATAGTTTTCGGTATCATCAAAGAGTGTATCGTCAAGTCCAGCTTGTGACTCGACTTCTACGATTTTCTGGATGTCAGTATCAACACAAACATCTGGAATTGTTGGAAATGCGATCATACCAAGCTCATGAATTGTATCTTCTGCAACGCTAATACCTCTCTAGAGCTTTTGAAGTATATCTATGGCAGATTTGGTAGCAACTGGGTCACCTTTGATATCATTAAGGAACATTACGTATTGGCGAGCCACGTATTTGTTGTTATGGTATTGCATTAACAAATGGTTCATTTCTACTTCGCATTCTTCTACCGAATCTTTTGTATTTCGAATTTTTCCATTTCGGTAGTGTTTCCTTGTAACGTAAGATCCCAAATGTTTCTCAGACGTTTCTTAGTCTTGTTGAACATTTTAGAGAGCTTGGAAATCTTACTTTTGAGTTGCTGTGTAAATTTGGTTTCTCTTGTCTTAATTATGTATCCTGTGGAGCTTAGTAAAACAGATTGGACGATTTTTGCATTGGTTTTCATCTGGGAAACGTTTTGTGCAATAAATGAGAGCTGGAGGTTTTCTTCTGGGTAAATCGCGATAAATTTTGCATAAAGTGCCCAAGCTGCTATGTTGTCCTTCCATTCCTGTACTGCAAGCTTGAATATTTTGAAGCTTACGCATATTGGATGGCAGTACATGAAGCCAGTTGGTAAAATTTGCTTCCACTTCCTGATACTCTTCAAGATAGTGATATCCTGTGTATCATCTATTTCATCTAAGAGCTTAAGATCGTTTTTCATTCGACGGTTAATGAAGATGTAAGTACCTACAAAAACGATTAAGCCAAGACCAATGACTCCGACGAAGAAATATGGCCCCCATGGCTCCTCTGCAAAGACAGTATATAAGTTTGCTGCACAGAGAAGTATACCAAGGATACTTCCACCTAAAGCCATAACTTGATCCCGTTTCTTAACGAAAGTTCCACAATCAAAGACGGTGGATGCACAGTAAATGTAAAGGAAGATGGAAAGGATCATCATTGCTGCTGAAGGATATGAACCAAAGTTAGTTGTTAAAGCAGATGCAAAAGTAACAATAGTTGTTGTGATCAAAAGCCTGGTCTGTGGAGCTCCTTCAATTGATTGGAATGACACTTGTCTGAATACCAATGAAATTGAATAGGCTTTGATGATAATCCACATCCACATAAGAATCGCAATGGCTGATGTGGCAACAGCTATGCTTGATTTAACATCCGTAGCAACATCCTTGGAAATGTAGCCTGATAAAATTTGTCCGCAGTATTGAGCTGAAATTGGGACAAAAAGAAATGGACCAATTGCTAAATAGATGCTAAGCGCAATTGTTGAGAAGTTCGATACCTTTGATGACTTTTTGAACTTGAAAGCGACAACTACAAGGTAAATTCCAAATATAATGAGTAAGGAATTAACGACGTATAGAATAATCCAGCCGTTACCTCTTCTATATTGTAGTGGAATTAAATGGAAAAATACAGTAAGAACGCTCATTACTTTAAAAGTGAATGTTCCGGGCACAAAAGAGTTAAGATTAGCAGCCATGAAAAAGCCACCAAGTAACTCCAGGAACCTGAAGAATGTAACAATATTGTAAACGAAAGACATCCTTGGTGCATAAATATCAAAGTAATTAAACAAAGAAGTAAGTGCATCAATTAAACGCTCATTCAGAGGAATATCAATTAGACCTTCATATCTACTGATGGATGATGTGGCAAAGTCAGTTGATGTGATAGAGGTCTGGGACGTTACCTCTTCCATCTAAAAATGAATTGTTTTGTTAAAAATATCGACAATAAGTTTTGAAAGGCATTGAAACTTAATATTACACGCAATATGAAAATTAATTGATGATTTGGATCTAGATAGTGGATAAAAGGACTTCTGATTTTGATTTGATATAATTTAAAAAGTTTATTTTTGAGATAATTGAATTTTTTTGTTAATCGTTTGAATTGAGAAGATAATTGAAAATTAGGAGAAGTAAAAATAAGAGAGTTGATAGAATTTAAAGGTGATTAATATTATTGAGGAATTATTAATTCTGATAGCAGTATTCTTTGAAAAATCGAACTACATTCAATTTTTATTTATAAAATTAATTGTTCAGTTGGAACTATTATGGTATGGTATATTTATCAATAATCATTATCGAAGAATTTGATAAAGGAATTAAGTTTTGAATTTCTTTTTTCAAATTAAATGGAAAATATGCTTGATCAAATTCTTTAAAAGAAGAAATCGATTTGAGATAAATCGATCATATTTTGAATATAAATTTTGAAAGTTTTAAATAGTATTTCTGATAACATTAATATAACTCAATTAAAAGTTATTTTCGTGTAATTTATAATGTACATCTTATGTCTAAAATGATTCATTTCACGTTTTTAGGTTATTATTTGAATTCTGAAATTTCTCATTCAATCTTTTTCAAAGGGTTTTCAAATATTTTATACGTTCAAATTTGTTTTTGCTCTCATATAAAAGATAACTATTATTACTATCTCATAACTCCGATTTCTTCGTTTATTCAATTTTTTCAAAAGATTATTAAAAGAGAAAATTATCCTTTGAGATGTGTTACTAAATAAAGAAAGTGTTTAAAGTTTAAACCAACTAAATTGAATTAATTAATCTTATTGCACGTTAATTTATAAATCGATCTTTCCTTTATCATCATGATTTTCTATACAAATTAAATTTTATTATAGTTTCTTTTAATTGAATATGCGATTTTCAATTAAAAAAATCCCAAATGAGTTTTATAATTATATATATGATTTGATGATATATTTTAATTTCAAATAAATATCTCAATTTTTAAATTGATAAAAAACCAATTCAAAAACATTTCGGTTTGTATTGTTTCAATAAAGTAACAATTGATCGACTAGTACTAATAATATCTATTATTTTCATTAATTTTTAAAATAGTGAACTAAAGATTGATATCACCAACTAACTTAGATTTTATGCATTTATTGAGAATAATCTTATATCTATTTCGGTAATTGAGTTCATAAATTATACTCATGGCTCCTAATAGTATAATTATTCTATCATGTTTTACGAAAAGGAGTTGTACTTCATATTTGCTATAAATATGTTCTAGGTAATCTGAAATTACATATTTAAGTATTTAGCTGCTAATTTGTCTTGAATTTAAAAAATAATATTTCTTATGTTTTGCCATGGTTTGTAATTTAATATGATAGTAAAAGAATCCATCGTTGATTAAAATAAACAAATATCTTTAATTACATTTTTAACAAACAAAAATTTATTACTTCTTCTGAGTTTTCACGAATTTTTGGGTTGAGCTGTCTTTTTGGCCATAAGTTCTCTGGCTCTCGGACGCCGAAGCAGTATTTGATGTTTTTTGTCTTGATAACATCTTTTTATCAGCTTTCTCGTCTTTATCTGATTTTACAGACTTTTTCTCTATACCAGACATATCCTGGGAAATGTTTGCCAGTTTTCTGATTACAGCATTTAAGCCGGAAGAGTGTTGTGAGAGTTCATCTTTTGTAGGGCCTTTTTCTTGCAATTCTAGGCTTGTTAAGATGAATATTGCGGCTTCGTTCATTACGTACATAAGTTCTTGTTGCTTTCTAAGTTTTTCATCGCGAATAAATTCCGCATGCTTCAAACTTTTTTCTTGTAATGACACTTGGCGCTTAAGATTATCGTTTTCTTGCTGAGCATTTGTTAAGCGCTCATTTAGTTCTGCAATTTTATTGTTCATTCTGTTCCTCAAAGCATCTAATTTTTGATTTGATGTTTCTATGGCTTCTTCCACCTTTTTAGCTGTATCATTGAGTTTTGATTTGAAATCTACGGCCTGTGTTGTTAAGTTCTTTTCTGTATCTGTTAGAAGACGCCTTTGTTGTTCAAGATCTTGTAATTGATGGCGAAGTTGATCGTTTTTCTTAATGACTTCAAGTGTATTATTGTTATCAGCCTTCAGAGCTTCTCTTTTAGCTTCTGTCTCGTGTAGAATCTTTGTTGTGGCCAAATCAAGGTGTAAATCTTGAAACTCTGTTGCAAATGAGTCAGCTTCTGCTAAATCATGAGAGAGCTGTTTCTCATAGTATTCTCTTTGCGCTTGAAGCTTCTTATGAATGGCAGATTGTTCTGCTAATCTTTCTTTTCTTTCTTTCGAAATAAGTTGTGAAATATTACGCATCTGTTCATCCATTTGGTGCTTATGCTCTTGGAACTCTCGTAAACCACGAAGCTGGTGTAAAGCGACTTGGATCTTTGATTTCAAATTTGTTTCGATTTCATGAGCTTGGTATTGCATTGCTTCGACTTGAGACTCATATTTTTCTTTTTGAGACTCAACTTCTATTTCAAGTTGTCTCAATTTCGAATTTAATCGCTCTTTTTCTTTTTCTGCTGTTTCAATTGCATGATTAAGATATTTAATTCTGTCGTTTTGTGATTCCTTCTTTCTATCAACGTCTAAAGCAACAGATTGCAATTGTTTCTTAAATTCTTGAATAACTTGGTTTGCACGAGTCCTAGAAGACTTAATATTCATTAATTCATTCTCCAAACACTCTGTTTCTACTGTAAGTTTCTGAACTTGTTGTATTTGATCACCTTTAATTTCGATTTTTTTATCCATTTGAAAAAAAATTACGTTATAATTTTAGATTCTTTTAAAAAAAGCTGAAAACAATTAATTAGCTCTATTTCTCTGTAACAATGAATTTACCAACTAGAATGTAATTGAAATGTCAATGATTTGAATAAGATATTTGAGGTTGAAAGTTACAAGCTCTCAATTTTCGTCCCTTTTGTACGTTTATTATAATTGTAGCATATTGTCATCAAGCACGCGACTAACCAGCAAAGACGTGTCCTCTAATTCCGTCCCTAGTTCAAGAATCTGGAACTATTTAAGCAAAAACATTCGATTTCAAAATCAATCATTCTTTATTCAACGAGTAAAACATTAAAGTATGATTTGTCATACACGGAATAATGACAAGCTCTTAGAGTATGTTTAGTACAGAGTTACTGCCAACTTGAGTTCTTGAATTTGGTAAGTTAGAACAAAAGAAGCCATATGTCGCATCTAAGGACTTGTACTTATCAGAGTATTACTAAATGTTTAAGAATGTTAGTTATTCGTCCCAAACTCGTACGTTTCCACGCGAATCTTGATAATAAATATACTATTTTGGACTTTTTGCAATAAATCTCTTTTTACCACATTAGCATATCTGTGTGTATGCTACTTAACCTCTTTAGAGACCATTAAGATAATGTTTTTTGATACTTTTTCAAGACTATGCCATAAAGTAAACGAATAATTTACAAAATGATATTAAAAAATTTAATTTTATTATGCTTTTATAAATATTGAAACTTTTTAGGACTATTTTAAAAATGTAAATAGATCAATCATTTTAATATTAGATAAGATAATCTAAAGACGTCAGATGTTTCAATAACTTCAGATCAATGACTAATATGAAATTTAAGATTTGTGTTAATTTAAGAATTAACAATGGAATCTGGTTTAGAAAGATGGAAAGCATAGAGAATCTAAAGGATAAGAGAGATTAAATACAAAATGCTGCATAAAAAGGCAGATCAGTGAGAAGAAATCATGAGGTTAAAAAGGAACATTCAAATTAGAATATAACATTGCATATTACAATATTAATATTAAAGATAATACTGCACATCATTGTGCAGTGATCCATAAATCAATATTAATATCTCATATGATAAAATCTAATATCATATTACAATATTAATATTAAAGATAATACTGCACATCATTGTGCAGTGATCCATAAATCAATATTAATATCTCATATGATAAAATCTAATATCATATTACAATATTAATATTAAAGATAATACTGCACATCATTGTGCAATTACACTATTTTAAATATTTTCATAAATAATGACTTACAAGTTAAAAAAATGTAGAATTAACTGCATGATCCAATATTGGACCGAATGTATGTTTGAATCTATAACTGAATTCATTAATGACAAAAAAGTGACTCTATAACTGAGTATCTGGCTGACAATATGCCTGAAAGTTTGAATGTGTCTAGGAATATAACTGACAGTTTGAGTGACATTTTGAATGAGGGTTTGTTGTCAGTATAACTCAAGGTTTGAGAGAGAATATGACTCACAGTTTGACTGACAATATGACTTAGAGTTTGAGTGACAGTATGAACAACAGTTTGGGTGATAGTATGAACTACAGTATGACTGAGAATATGACTGACGGGTTGACACACACTATGAATTAGCTTTTTAGTTAGAATAAGACTGACAGTTTGAGTGACAATATAACTGACGGTTTGACTGACAATATGACTGTTGATTTGAGTGAGTGTATGATTGAGAGTTTGGGTGACAATATGACTCATAGTTTAAGAGAGTGTATGACTGATGGTTTTAGTGAGAATAAGACTGATAGTTTGACTGACAATATGACTTACGGTTTTATTTAGAATATGACTGAGAGTTTGGGTGACAATATGACTGTTGATTTGAGTGAGTGTATGACTGACCGTTTTAATGACAATATGACTGACGGTTTAAGTGACAATATGAATTACGGTTTTAGTGAGAATAAGACTGATAGTTTGGATAACAATATGACTGACGGTTTGACAGCCTCTATGACTTACGGTTTTATTTAGAATATGATTGAGAGTTTGGGTGACAATATGACTCATAGTTTAAGAGAGTGTATGACTGATGGTTTTAGTGAGAATAAGACTGACAGTTTGAGTGACAATATGACTGCTAATTTGAATGAATATATGACTGTCGGTTTGGGTGAGAATAAGACTGACGGTTTTAGTGAGAATAAGACCGATAGTTTGGGTGACAATATGATTGTTGATTTGAGTGAGTGTATGACTTACAGTTTGACTGACAATATGACTGACGGCTTTAATTAGAATATTACTGACAGTTTGAGTGACAATATGACTGGGGTTTGACAGACACTATGAATTAGCTTTTTATTGAGAGTAAGACTGACAGTTTGACTGACAATATGACTGACGGTTTGACCGACAATATGACTGACGGTTTGACAGCCTCTATGACTTACGGTTTTATTTAGAATATGACTGAGAGTTTGGGTGACAATATGACTCATAGTTTAAGAGAGTGTATGACTGATGGTTTTAGTGAGAATAAGACTGATAGTTTGAGTGACAACATGACTGACGTTTTGACTGACAATATGAGTGACGGCTTTAGTTAGAATATGACTTAGAGTTTAGCTGACAATTGGCTGACAGTTTGAGTGACAATATGACTGACGGTTTGAGTGAGTGTATGAATGAGAATATAACTGACGTTTTGACTAACAATATGACTGACGGTTTGACATCGAAATTCATTCATATATATGTATTGATCAATGCAATCACCCTATTTAATATTATTATTTATCAATTAATTTTTCATTACTACATGCTCTCAATTATTATGACATTAATATTTATCAATAAATATTTCATTACTATATGCTCCCACCCAATTTGACATTATTGTTCTTTGAAAAATTTTTCTTTATTAAAGACACTCTCACAAATTCATATCAATATATTTTAATTATCACCTATTCCAATCCATTTTCATATTCATATTCTTATTGAGTTAGAATAAATTGAGGATGACTGAGAATCAAATTATAATTAGTGAGAATCAATTGAAGAATACTGGGAGTTAATTAAGGTTGTTTAAGAATAAATTGTGAATAAGTGACAATCAATTGAGGATGAGTGAGAATCATTTGATTATTAGTGAGATTCAACTGAACATCAGTGAGAATCAATTGAATAATACTAAGAAGAAATTGAGGAAGAGTGAGAATCACTTGATTCTTAGCGAGAATCAATTAAGGATGAGTAAGAATCAATTAATAAGTAGTGAGAATCAATTTAGGGTGACTGAGAATCAATTGATTCTTAGTGAGAATCTATTGATAATTAATGCGAATCAATTGATTATTTGTGAGAATCAATTGATCAGTAGTGAGGATCAATTGATTATTTGTGAGAATCAATTGAAGATGAGTAAGAGTCAATTGAGGATGAATATGTGTCTATTCTGATATGACTTAGTATCTACTGAGGCTAGATGCTAACATCTTACTTTTATGATCATAATTTTTCAACTCCATTAATATTTATAACAATATTTTGATTACTATTTAAATAATTTTATCAAATGATAATTATTAACATATATTAAGAGTATGTTTAATTTTCAACATACTCTTAAAAATCCGAAATTTTAAAAAGTGATTTTTTTAATGCTAAACCATCTTCATCTACCATTAAATGTTTCGGATGATTTGATTTTAATTCAGTTGGGTTCTATTAGATGTAATAGTGTAAATTCTGATTCAACAATTTATCCAGATGGGTATATTTCAAAAATTTTATATTATTCTTCCAATAAACCCTATCAAAAAGAATGGTATACAAATAAAATAACTTATCAAGATGGTAAACCTAAATTCACTGTTTTGGATTCATTATCAAATGCATATGTCGGAGATTCACCATCATATCCTTGGGGACAAATCGTTTCAAAAATCAAAGAATTAAACAGAAATATTAAGAATGTATATAATTTTGGACATAAATTATTTGGATTTGAAAATAAATCTATCATTTGTTATTTGGAGGAACTCAAAGAGCGTTTTATCTCGAATAGCGATGAAGTAAAGTATCTTCAAACATATGAAACAACACCTAAATTTCAGAAATCCGCTGAAGCTTTTACAGAAATGGTAAATATGATTATAAGTGAAAAATATTTGCAAACAGATCTCAGTCAAATTAAAATCAAAATCCATCGTCTAGGGGAACAATATATTCTTAAATTTTTAGAAGCATTTATAATTGCCCGCCCCAAATTTTATGCACAGGTTATAGGTTTCTTACAAAATTTTTCATTTGACCAGGAATTATACTCAAAAGCAGGAATTTCTAAACCATTAATACAAGCAATAATTAATGGCGATAAAAGATATTCGAATATTTTTGCTTTTTCAGGAAAATCGTGTGATTTAACAATCGAAGATTTTATTAATGTTTTAATTTCAGATCAAACAAATCAAAATGGTGAAGAATATTATCAAATACGTATCAGATCTATATTGGATAATAGTAAATATTCTTTCTATGAACTAGCAGTTAAATTTGAATCAATTAATATTTTAAATTCGTGTAATATAGATAATGTTACACCAATCATGAAAGCATTGATAATGTCAAGCCCAAACGAAACAATTTTCAAAATGAATGATAAATTCAATTTGCAGACTTATCAATTTACAAACCAAATCAAGTATGTTTTATCTTTTGCATACAATATCTCAGAGTTATTTTCTACATTTAGAAATCCATTACTCTCTTCGATTGTTTCAACAAATAATATTATATCAGTAATGAATTTGAATGAAAGCAAAGTTATTCGTTTAAAGATTCATTTAATCTTCCATGAGGCCCTAATTCAAAATAATGATTTTATGTACAAGAACTTTAATGTTTTGAATCAAATAAAAAACAATGACCTTCTGGAAATTTTAGCAAAAGCTTGTTTGAAAGCTGACAAAAAAATTCAAGCAGATTTTGAACAAATCATGGGTATTAAATTTACAGCGATCAAACAATTTCATGAATCCATAGAAAAAATTCCAGTTGATCGGTCTCCAATTACAATAGATGGTTGCCATATTTGTTTTGAATGCTCTAAAAATACTGATATTGAAAAACTCAAATCAATGCAATTAATTCTAATAAGCCCTGGTATTCATATCAATGTGTTAACTTATGAACAAACATTGAAGTTTTTGGAACAAATGCCAGCATTTATTCATTTGGGCCTTTCCAATATAAGTTCTGATCGATCTGTAAACTTAAATTATTTTCTACTTCAAAACGAAGATTATTCCCCTTTAAAAATTTCTACAGATAATTATTATTACTTTAAGATCACATTGTATGACAAAATCGTATCCTTTGAATATTCAAAAGTATCAGATACGTTGTGGATGATTACTGTACCAAAAAACATGAAAAACATAAAATTACCCAAAGAGTTTTCAGGGAGGTTAAAATGGTACATTCAAATAACGAAAGTTGATCTCCCAGGACATCCTCTGCAAGATGAAATACAGGAAAAAATAAAGCATGATAATGAGATTGGTGATATCTTAACTTCATATCCCGGGAAATTTTATGTAAATTATAGCACAACGATAAGAAGTGATAGTTTATTCGTCAATGGAAATCCTATAGAATTTCTTATATATATTCCAAGCGAATCAGGAAATTTGGCGTTGGAGTGTAATTTAATTCACTTAGATGCTACTTTTTCATGGCCGAAATATATATTTATTTTTCCTCGTGGTAATTACTATATGCGAGGTTACCCTCTAGGGATATACATAGGGCGCAGCGAATCATCCGCTGCTTATCAACGGTGGCTTACAGCCATGAATATTGAATTTAAATCATTAAACATTATGGAGCACTTTTCAAGAATCAAATGGATGAGCGATTTAGGTACTGGAGTTTTAAAATTTTTGAATACGAATCATTTCCAAAATTATATCTGTATTAGGCACTATCTCGGAACCATGGGCAATAATACTTTACTACATGTTTTTGCTCTGATAGTATTATTATCAAAATCGGCCCAAGATTTTGAGGACAATTACAAATGTTTTGATCCATCGGTTCAGAAAATGTATGCTACAAAGAATATATCAGATGAGCAGCTGGAAAAATGGAAGCAGATATATAAAGATCAAGAGCATTTAGCAGCATACCACCGCATTCCACCTATAAGCACTAATAATAGTGCAGAGGGTAAGCATAGACACATTAACGAACTTGCAAAAAAAGCAAGAAACTTTTCTACTTTCATCAAATTCATTCTGAATGATACTATCATTAGGATTAATGAATCAATTGATCCCATTAATAAGCAAAAACGCGAGAAGAATGACTTGTTAAACGAAAAATGCATACATTGCGGATTCTCCTATAATGATATTAATACTGATAAGAATCCTTGTAAATATTGCAAGGATTTCTTTATGAATAAGAGTCATGTTCCCTCTGCAGGCATACATGTTATGAAAATAGGAGAAAACGTAGGTGAAATCATAGAATTCCCAATCGATAAAAATGTAGGTGATCAGGATGAACACGTGGATCACAAAGAAAAGAGTTTGCCGATCGAAATATCAAAATACGCAGAATTTATTGATATTGACGATAAAAATAAAGCAGTTTTAGTCGTAAAACTGCTTTATAATCTTGAAACGTTCCAAGATGCCAAAGATTTAATCAATTCTCTGGAAAAACAATCAAAAAATTATGAATCTGCATTACAAAATAAACCAGAAATTTGGTTGGAAAAATACTTGCCTGAATTAATGAAGGAAGTAAAAGATGCGAGAGCTGCTAGAATGAGATTGAAGATAATAAAGAAGTAGAGATGATGAGTGAATAAAAACTTTGTATTAAATTTGTATATAAAAGAATTGTAAAATATAAAAATAAAGAAGTGGTTGATAGGAATTTGAAAATTCGTTGGGTGCATATAAGTTTGATAAATATATTTATGAATATTAATGTCAAATTGGGTGGTTGCATATAGTAATGAAAAATATATTAATAAAAATTAATGTCAAATTGGTTGGTTGCATATAGTAATGAAAATAAGATTAAAAAAATTAATGTCAAATTGGGTGGATTCGTGATAGAATGCTTCTGTGTATGTGTGGCGTGAGTTAGCATCGGGTGGTTGCGTGATAGAATGCTTCTGTGTATGTGTGGCGTGAGTTAGCATCTGGTGGTTTCATCACAAATTTTAACCCATCCAAATCTTATTAATTATTAAAATTCTTTTACAATTTCTGATGTATTTTTTGAAAACATTTCATATGCAATATTTCTCCTTTTCTTTCCTCAAATCTTCAAATATTAATAACTTTGGATATGAAATTATTTGGATCTTTTATGAATTTTAAATGTCTTTCTTAATATCAAATCGATTAAATTATTAATATTTTCTAAATTATGCCTTAAAAATCCAAATATAAAAAAATCGTAAATAAAAAATATATTTTTTATTTTTATTTTGTAAATAATCCGTTTACTAAATGGGACTGTATCATGAAAGTAACAAAAATCCTTATTTAACAAGATTCAAAACTGGTGCAACGAAATGCACATTGATTTTGTAGTGTAACAAAGAGAGATTTATTGTAAAAAGTACAAAATAGTATATTTATTATCGTGATTAGCGTAGAAATGTATGAGTTTGGGACGGATTTCTGGCGCATTCATAACTAAAGTGATACATTGTCTGGAGCAAGTTCAGATCTTTAACTTATGGCTTGTTTGGTGCTAACTCACCCAATTTAAGTGCACTAGAGGGGATTTTGTCTGTAATGAGCATGCACCTTGAGTTGTTGCTTGGTCCGTGTACGAAAGATAGTAATTAAATACTATACTCGATTAAATGTGAATTTCTAATTTTGAATTTGCGTTTTTTCCTGAAAATAGTTACAATATATGAAAGAGTTGGCAAAACTAGAGGACACGTCTTTAAGGGTTTGGCTCTTGCTTCATGTTAATATGCCGAAACTAAAATAAACGTATATTGGGGGTCGAAAATTGAGAGCTCATATCTTTAAGTGGATATTTGATATTAGAGCATAATATGCAAAACATTAATACACTACTACATATTTATCGAGAATACATCATAGCAATTGTCATTATGTTTGTAATTACTCATATTTTATTCAATTATGTTTGTAATTATTCACCTCAAACCATCATATCTAAGCTAAACTTGTTTCAACGATTAATATTCATCCATATGGCCCTTTAATAATGCAGTTGTACATATATATATATTGCCTCATAATTTTCTGGATCATTAGATCAAATTTCTATTAATACTTAAATATCTATCTGTTTATATATTGAGCAATGCATGTAAATAGATAGAAAAGGATAAGTATTAACTTTGATCATCGATATTTGATACTCGTGAAAATAATATCCCTTGAAATAAATCATAAATCAAATAGGAAAAGATATGGGAATATCAGATCTCAAAGAAAAAAAATAAAAATCAAATTATATAAAAGCCAAAAGGCAATGAAAATTTATAATTAAATTAAATAATGGAAGGTAAAAAGAAATAATAATTACAATGTCAAATGATCTGTTTAAGACTTACTGAGGAAGCATGTTATTTCCATCATTTGGAGCTTCTTCGTCGAATTCATCGGCGAATGGATCGTCCTGAGCATCCTCGTTGTAGAGTGGGTTATCATTCTCCTGAGCTGCATCGCCATCTGGACCATTGAAAAGATCTGGATCCTCTGGATCGAACTCCTTTGCCTTGATTTTTGCTTCATGAATGAGAACAGCAGCAGCGACGATTGCAGCAACACCGACAGCAGCAGCTGCACCAGCGATGATTGGGATTAATTTCTTCTTATTCTGTTTAGAGTTAGAATTAGATGCTACTCCAGAGCCTGCGTTAGCCCATTGAGCTTCAGATGCAGATGGTGTTGGTGTTGGTGTCAAGTCTGGTGTTCTCTTTGGCGGTGGTTTGGATTGAGTGATGAAGTAGAATGATGTGTTAGATGGTACATATGTGATTGTTGGATCACCATTAGAATCAGAAGTATATGTTGGAACATATGTCGTTGTTTCATTGGAATCAATGTAGTGTCCAGATGGAGGCTTGGTATCAATAGGTGTTGGAATTGGAGATGGGGATGGAACTGGAGATGGATTTGGATACTTGACATTTGTGAATGTGAATATTGCATCTCGAGAGTTGGAGCCACGCTGATCAACAACTACGAAAATAAGCGAATGGTTGCCAGCATCAAGATGTGGAATTGTGTATTCGAAATCGAATTTAACCCATTCGCCCTGAGATGTTACTGTGTAGAATGGATTGAATGGAGCTGTTGGATCATCTGTTGGATACTTAACACTGAGTGTCAATGTATCGCCAACATCGAGATCTCTGAACTGACCTGAAACAAAGATTTTATTGTTGTAGTGAACACTGTCATTGAAATCTGTTGTAAGCATGATCTCTGGAGCATGAAGCTGGACATAAGTGAATGGGAAGTCGTATTGTGTTGACTTGACACGGAACTCATCAGTAGCCCAGATGTGAAGAACGTGAGAACCATAGCTAAGAACTTTCTGTCTAAGAGGGAATGTCTTACGGAATGGAACTTCGACGTTGTAGCAGTCGATTTGAGAGTTGACAGAGAAAGCAAAGTCATTATCGAATTGATAGGAAATGACAGCATATGTATCATCCCAAAGCTTGCCTTGAACATCAACTGTACCACCTGTGTAATATGTGGAAGCAATTGTGTTGGTGATTGTCAACTTTGGAGCCTGGTTAACAAGAAGTTGCTTTGTGAAGACGTTTGATTTATACAAGCCATCGTTAGCCCAAACTGTCAATGGATAGGAGGAAACGGTGGTTCCAAGTGTAACTTCAAATGAGTAAGACTCATTTAAGCCATGTGATCCAGCTTTCCAACTTGTTAGTGATTTATTGTGATATTTTGTTATACCATTCGGGAAGTTGCAATAGAGTGTTATTGTTTCACCAGCATCGTAATCTTGAACTATGACAGTTACATTGACCTTAGAGTTTGGATTGTAGTTCTGCTGGAAGTTGGTTGTAACGTTGATGATTGGTGGGCTCTTTAAGTTATCGCCAACACCAAGGAGAACACCGAATGTCAAAGTCTGATTTGGATAAATTGCGCGCTTGTGCCAGCCAATAGAGAAAGCAGAGTCTCTGTTTATAAGAGGTTCTGTATCTGTTTTGTTCTCCCAATAATGTTGGTTAAAACGGTACCATGGACCAAACCAAAAGTCATCAACATTTGTAACACCGTAACCATCACGTGCCAAAAGAGTAAGCTTTGTGTTATGGAGCTCAAGATATTTGTTATCTTGTGTCATTGTTAAACCACGGTTGCCACCATACCAATCAACTCTGGCTCTATCATTAAATATGATCTGTACATCAGTATGGGAAGCTAAGGAAACATAGTGTGGTTCTTTATCCTGGTTGGTAACAATCCATTGGACAAGGATGTAATTAGAACAAAATGGATAAGATAATTTGGTTTTAACATAAACATTATTTGAAGACGCTTCACCGTTATTTATTCCGAGAATATAAACTAAATTTCCATTATCAACTTTGAAAGCTGGCCACCAACCGTAGTTCGCGTATGATGTTGGAAAGTAGTAACGGTTATCAATAACATAGCGAATATCAAAATCGGAACGCCATTGATTCCAAGTCGGATAATCGACGTAAACCCATGAAAGATTATCTGCTGATTTTACTTTTTGTGTAAACAAGAAAAGATTAATCATTGATAAAAATGAAATTATTTTTATTTATTCGATCGGTGGCGGTTTCTATGAAAACTTATTAATATTTTCAGAACAAAAAAAAACAGTTGTCTCAATTTAGTAAAATAAAAAGACATCAGATAATATGTCATATCAATCAAAATATGCATGAATAAATCAAAACTTTAGTTGTAAAGGTTATTTACGATACTCATTATTTAGTACAAAATAGAAAATAAATAGCAGCTTGTTATAGCTAATATGATTTGTTTACTTTTTTTTCCAAAAATTTTAATGTATTGAATATTTTTGAATCACATTTTATTTTCATATGTATGTATCTATATCAGTATAGCAAAATTGTTGAATTGATATAAAATTTGAAGTGAAAATTTTGACAATTTTGACCGATTTTTGAAATATTTCAATATGTATCAAACAACGAAAAAATTTAAGAAAATCTTGCAATAACTGCGTTTACAATTTTATTTCTGGTATGTTATTGAAACTCTTATTTACATATTCAATAATTTTACACTAAAAAATTTTGCTGAATTCGAATTCATGTTATAATATCGGAATACATGTTCGATGAAAATTATAAGAGTTGCATATTTATCATCACAATTGTAACATTCAATGGAAATTTCAAGCCAATGGCTTGTTCAAGTAACTCCATTAATTGATGATTTTATATAGTTATACAGAATAAGATTGATCTCAAACTCAACTCTTAATTTTATTGATGCCATCGGCGAAATGAAATTATTATTTAAAATTATATATATAAATGGGTTGCTGAGTTTCTTTTACATCTTAAATCATACTAACCACTATTTGGCTGGAGTTCAGAATTGGAATTACTAATTTTGCCGAAAACGTTATTAATTCTTCTTAAATATTCAATGGTTACGCGCTAATTAATGAATTAATTATTCTTGCTTAAGGGTGCACCCGCATGGTCGTTTATTTGAGAGGAGGAGGATTACCCTTTCAATTTTGAAAGCTTCGTTAACTTAATATCTCGATGAATATTGGCTTAAAATTGAATTTGCCCATACCAATATATCTGATACAATATCCTTAAGTTTTACTAAAAAGAATTTTTTAAAATCCCTGGCAGGGTTGTTAAAAATATCAAAAATTAGCGTTTTGAAGACACCATGGTGTCTTATAATTTTCCCTTCCTTATTGGCGTGTAGAAATAAATGCGCCAATAGATTGAAGAAGAAGAATTGTTTTTCTCTTAATGAACTTTAATCCTTTTGATATAAGAATATTAAAAACATTAATATAATTTCGATTTCGGAAATTAAATTTCCAAATTTTTTGTGGCTTTCGGAAATAACAGGATCCCGCATCCAACACGCAACAACAAAACACAAAACACACTTTTTGGTTCTTTCATCGTTTTAATCGTAATTTATGTAATATATGATTTGGATAAATTTTACAAAAATAGAACCTAGATTATATTCTTTTCAAAGATTCTTGCTAATCATCAAAAATAATTGTATTTTAAAAAACAATCAAATTATCCTTTCATTATTTTAAACTTAAATTAGTTTTTATGATTGACTAAAGCAATCATATTTATTAATCATTAAATAAACAAAAAAATAATATTTGAGAGTTATTTCAAAAAAAACACATTGAATTTATTAATTTGTCTCAATTTCAGTATTATAAATTTTTATAATTTCAATATTTTGAAATACACTTTTTAATATTTCAATATTTATGATATTTCAATGTATTAAGTGGTCTCAAATTGAGCTTCTCAAATATAAGTTGGCCTATTCAAATAATAAAATTAAATAATATTTAAAATAATAAATAAAAGTGATTGAGGTCATAGCAAAACGGCTGTTTCAGTCATTAATTCTTAAAAATAAAAAGGGTAAAAACTAAATAAAATGGGTAAAATTCAATAGTGTCTGTGCTATCGTTCAATTTGAAGGTGTCTTTTGAAACCGCAAGACACATTGAATTTTTGAATAGTGTATTATGGTTTGACAGACACCAATGAAAAAAATCAAATGATATTTATTTTAAATATATAAGATCCTTATATAAAATATAAATATTTTATCGTTTTATTTTCTTGTTTTAGAAATGTTTTTTATTGAAAAATCAATAAAACTAACTCCAAAATAAAATTTTTGAATTAAAGACACTACGATGACACCAGGCAAATCTTCCAAGACACCTATCGTCGGGAATCTAACAACCCTAATCCATGCAGATTCGGGGATTTTTAATTTTTTTGATTTTTTTCGAAAATTTTTCGGAAAAAAAAATATTTTCAGAAGAGCCTTAACGGCTAAGTTTTATGTTTAATGTTGAGTATCAAAAAGAATGGGCATCTGATATAGCCATCATATATCCCAGAAGCAAATAAAAATTCTGACTTTTTAAGCATAAAAAATGAAATTTTATTTTTTGCAAAAAACAGGCCACCCGGATGTACGTTTATTTGAGAGGAGGAGGATTAAATTTTTGAAAGCACTAAAATTTGTAAATATGCTAGTTATATAATAATATTCATTATTTTAAAAAATAAAAATTAAAGCACGTTAACATCTTTTTTGATGAATTTTTACAAAAGCTACTCAGGATAATGCAAGATATGAGTAGTTAAACATAAATTTCAAATCAGATTTTACTTATAATAAATATTTTAAATTTCTGAAAATTAAGTTCAGATCGACTCTATACGTAGTAAATACTAAATAAGGTGCCAAAAACCTATTAAACAGTATCAAAACTATCAAGATTGTAATGTTTTTGAAGAAAAATTTATAGAATTATGGACTTCAAACAGATATTATGTAAATAAAAATAATATAATGAATTTATTTATTCGTATAATAGCAGTAATAAGTCGATTATTCACTTCTACTTCTGAGATTTGAATTTAATTTCGACAGAAAAAGAGATTCAAGAGGAAAATACTAGGGGATACAAACAGCCACCATGACAGGATTATTATGGAGCCAAGTTGTATTTTTTGATATTTTTAGAGTTTTCCTACCTATTTAGGTACCAAGTTATTGCTTAAAAATTAAGGTTCTAAATTCTGAAGTTTACATGATCCTCCCGGGCGCACTCTTAAACCTTTCTTTGAATTCCTATTCACGACATAGAAATCATGAAAATGATTCTTATTTACTTGGTAGATGGTTGCCATTTAATTACAAATTATAGCTTCAATCCATAAAATCCTCAAAAAAATATTAAATCAATCTTTTCCTTACATAATAAGGGAGATGTTTTTCCATGACAAGTTGAATAATTGAATCCATTTTAGAATAAGATATATCCATGAATCTTCGAATATACCCAGATTTTCCTTACTTTTACCACCCCTTTAAAGCTGGGGACACCGCCTATCGTTGGGAATAGCTATTAAATAGAACCACCAAGGGTATTTTTCGAACTGCCGGTGTAGTGTAGTGGAAATATGCGATATATCGATTCATTATGCCAAGGTTTGATTCCCATTTAGCCAATTTTTTTCTTTTTTGGATCATGAATTTTTTTTGGGTCACTATAAGATTTGTTTCATGTTCTAAATCTGCTGCATATGTAATCTATTTTTATTTACCTATTTTTTAAAAATCTATTGGATTGCCAAATTTGAATCTATTTAAAATCATAAAAATCCAAAAAAACTATAAATATATGTTTTATGCATAGTGCCGATACTCAAATATCAGATTACTTAGATCCATGAATAATATCCGAATTTTTTTTCTTAAAATTAAACTTCAAAACTTCTTGCAATCTTATTCTTAATCAATTGTAAATTTTTAAAACCATTTTTTAAAATAATTTTGCATAAATTTTATTCTCATGTTGTTTTAATCGAAAATTGATACATTTTCAAAAAAATAATATTGACTTATGAAATTCATTTTTAAGGTGAAATAGTATTTTTTTATTAAAGTATATGAATAATATATAAAAATTAATGAATAATATAAGCAGATTTTTAGTTTACAAAACAAATATGAGCAATGCAATTTCAAACTTTTGCTGGCAATTTCGATATTGCTCAAGTTTGTAGTATTTGTGATACCTATAACATCGGCTTAATCAAAATTCGATTTTTCTTATGAGTTATTGAGAAAATTTGATTGCAATGAGAAGGATTTCGACGTTTTTGATAAACTAAGAGCTGAGCTTTAGGAGTTCAGTTCATTTATGGCTGTAGTTTGATGCGTAGATCTCTTTTTTATTGTAAATTCTTTCAGCATGGAGATCGAGAATGAATCTTTTGAGAACTTTATGAGTTTTTACACCCGTAAAGAGGTCCTTCGAGGAAAGATAGTCCAGACTACATGAAGATGTGGGTTAACCAAAAAAATCCGATGGTTTCCCCATATTCATGTAGATCTTCGAAAAAATGAGCACCAAAAAAGCCAAAAAAATAGGCTTTTTATTGGATTTGTACACTAGATCAATAACCTATTTAGGATCTGACACTCTTTTTAGCCAGAGATATGAGGTCCTTTCTAGGAAAACGATCTATTCATCCATAAAAAAAATGAATTATCGTTTTCCCCAGAAATTACATGGGGAGTGGTAAAAGTAAGGAAAATCTGGGTAATTTTGCAATTACTCAGCAAATTATATTTAATGCAAAAGATAGTAGTTTTTATACCAAGCATTGAATAACTTGAATAAAATACTTTATATTGATATTATATGTTGTTCAAAGAAAAAAATATTTAAAAATATTTGAATTTCTAATAATTTTCACAGAATTAATCATCAGTGTGTATCATTTTATAAACTCTGTCTTTGAGACTTTAAATTTTGTGACGATTTTAGATGAAAGATATAATAAGCGAACTTGTGTTCAAGAATAGCACCAAGTTGATGACGTGATATCACTTCTTAAATGTTAGCATAAATTGTTGTGCTAATTCGCAAAATCCACGCCTTGATAAGCATGTAAAAAAATGAAGCACGTTTAGAAATATGGAGTATTCTTATGAGTCATATTCATATTTATCAGATAATAAGCAAAATGACTCTATTCCATCATATACAACGATTGGAACATCCACAGTTCAAGATACTGCAGAACAAATAACAAATTTTCAAAATGAGATATTAAATCAAGCAAAGTTGATTGATTTCTATATATCAAATATCAATAAAAGGGACTCGAATACTGAAATATTTCATCGGCTTCAAGATTTATTCAAATTGTTCAAGGCAGAGCTAAATCTCAATTTTTCAATAAGAAAAGTGTTGATCCAGGAAAGATCTACTAATGAAAAGTTAACTTCTACATGCATTTCTAGCTATACTCAACTTAACGAATTTTTCTCCAAATTATCATCAATAACTGGAATTGAAATCAAAAGTCTTGATGATACCATTAATGTTATTGATAATGCCGTGAAAAATGGTTTATTCTCCAATAAAAAACGTTTGTTGCACCGCAATCGTAAATTAAGACAAAAACTCTTAGACATACAAAGCCAATATGAAGAATGTCAAGCCCAGCACTCTTTAGAAATTGCAGAAATGCAAGCTAAAATTGAAAATGCAGCCAATACTGAATTTGAATTACTCGAATTAAGGAAAATCCATAATGAAGATGCTGAAACAATCAAATCTCTGGTTATGCAAAAGAAAAATGAAGTAGAGCAATTGTCCATGCAGATTAAGTCCCAACAATATTCAAAAATGAATGATTATTATGAGATCAAAAGAAAAAATGAATCATTAGTTCAAGAAATAGCCAGTATGAAGAATGAATTGCAAAGTATTAAATCTAAACTCGATACTACAATTAAGGAACGTGATGATTTGATAAGTAAGCTCAAAAACAACGAATCAAATCAAAATCAAATTAAAAACTTAGAACAAGAATTATTGCAAAAGGAAGAAGAAAACATACGGCTTAGAAGAGAAAGGAAAGCTTTAACAAGATGTGTTAATGAGAGCAAAACTACAAAGCAAGTGTATATTGATAAAATTGATGAACTCCAACGTAAACTGTTGATTATTGAAAATAAAGCCAAAAAGAAGAATATTTCTAATGATGAGGAATACAAGAATCTCCAATGCAGCTTGGCAAACGCAATCAATAAGATAAAGCGCCTTGAAAATGAAAACTCAAGATTAACTTCCGATTCTTCTTATACTGGAGAATCAGAAATGATTATCAAAGCTTTTCATGATCTAAAATATGCTTTGCAATTAGATGATCGAGCAAGCCCGCAAGAAGTTGTTAAGTATATTGTCTCTGCATTGAATAACCAAAAGGATTCTACAGATTTTATAATGAATGATAATGAATCTGTTTCAAGGTGTTCAAGTTTTACATCTGCGCCTGTATCATATGAAAAATACTGCGGAAATGCATTACAAGAAGAAATAGATGCGCTTCAAAGAGAGGTTATTAATCTCAATGGAGAAGTTATTAAATACTCTAAGTAAATTGTTATGTTTGTTATTCTTTTAATTGCATCTAATCTATTTCAGAAATGTTAAGGTAACGACGAGCTCCGTTTTCATTTTTTTCTGTCTGAGAATTGTCGCCTATTTACGATCATACGTATTATCTAAAGATTTCGGCATACAACATTGAAATATAAAAGAGTTTCCTTAAATTTAAAAAAAAAAAAAAAAAAAAAAAAAAAGGGAGTGGGGCTTCCAGGCACTTCGTGCCTTCTAGCCCTGAAGATGTTTAGTATAAATGAAGTTTTTTATTCGGAGGACCGAACCCCAGCCGACCAGCCGGTGATACTTTTTGTGTCGCTTTTCACAAATTATATATGTTTTCATCCTTTGTCAAGACTTCTTCGTAAATGTTTTGTCAAGACTTCTTCGTAATGAGTGTAAAGGACCAAAAAATAATGTTTAGGGTAGAAGGTTAGATCTAACCTCTTTTCTAACCTCTTTTCTAACCTCTTGAATTTTCATGACTTCTTCGTATATGCTTTGTCAAGACTTCTTCATCGTAAATGTTTTGTCACTTTTCTGTCACTTTTCGAGTAAAAACATTTTTATTATTATATATAAATGAATTTTACAAAACCACCGTTACCGTTCTTTGGAAATAAGAGTAGATGTAAAGATATTATATTGAGAGAACTTAAGAAACTACCGAATGGTCTAACATTTGGAGATTTGTTCGGTGGAAGTTTCTATATATCCCATTTATGTCATATAATATTCCCAGACTCAAAGATTATATGCAATGACTTCGACAACTATATGGACCGTCTCAAACATATTCCAGACACAAACAATATATTGAAAGAGTTAAAAGAAAAGATACCTATAGGTAAGATGGAACGTATACCATTAGATAAGAAAAATATTGTGAGAGAGGTTTTGAAAAAAGCAGAATATATAGACTGGGATAGTATATCTGCTAGACTATTATATAGTGGTTCTATAAGAGTTCATGACATTGAAACACTTATGTCAAAAGTTTTATATCTTAACTATACAAATGTTTTCAAAGAGGACATAGAAAAATATATTGAGGGTATAGAGTTTGTGAGATGTCATTGGACAGAGTTGTATGAAAAATATAAAGACAAGGAAAATGTTTTCTTTATAGTGGACCCGCCGTTCTATAACACATGGGATTTTCAATACCAAGTAGACTGGACTTTGAGAGACTCTTTAGAAACTTTAGACGTTATACATAACCATCCATGCTTTTACTTTACATCCGATAAAAGTGGTTTGGAAACCGTTATGAGATGGTTAGAGGACATACATGACTATGAGTTTATATATGACAAGATAGAATATGAGAGAGGTCCTATAAACTGGAGAAAGTGTCACAATAAAGAAATTTTATTAGTAAGTAAATGTGGTTTGAAATAGGACTACTTGTTTTAGGTTTTTTCCATTGTGTCATTTATTTATTTGACGTGGCAGAAAAGTACAGAGAATATGAAGATGAACCAATGCCTGCAAATGTTCAGTATATGTACTCGTAAGAGATATTTTTATCTAATATTAAATGGACGCACAGAACTTAGCGAATGCACAGCAACCTGGACAACCAAACCCAGAGAATATTCCAAATGAAGTTAGAATACAAACTGCAATGGCAAACTATGGTCAAGTGCCAACAGATGTACAAATGCAAACTGCCATGTCAAATGACGCTGCGTTAGGTTTGCCACCATGGTATGCAAATATGAGATGGAAAGAGTTTTATACAAACCCTGAAGTGGGATATAAACAACTTTATGCAGATGACGCGAACACAGGAGTTGACCCAGAATATGTTTTCTACCAGAGGAGAAACAGAATGTATGAGCTCCAGTTAAAGAATGCTATGGAACTCAACAGGAAACGTAAGAGACTAGGCGGACATTAGATTTTTACATATAGTAAAATGGGTTTCTTCAGTAGTATTGGAAACTTCTTTCGAAATGTTGGAAGAGGTATATGGAATGGAATAAAAACCGTAGGAAAAGGAATTTGGAACGGAGTCAAAAATATTGGTAAAAGAGTAGGTCAGTTTGTTGGTATTATACCTAAAGACCCTGAACCAGAAGAACAAGCTCCTGTTATACAACAGCCTGAACCTGCACCACAGTCTAGTTGGCAACCAAATCCAACACCTCAACCGTATTAAAAAATTATATTTTTACCGTTCGATAGTAGTTGTATATGAAACTAAGTTCTAAGTAAAATGCGTGGTATAATGGAATTATTCTTTTTCTTCCATCTGTAGTAAACCATACTTGAAAGTCTGAAATACTTCCACTTGGTGGTTCGTATAACTTTGTAGGTTTTTCGTAAAAGTCATTTGCCAAGCATAAGAAAGAGTTTTGGGCGCCAGAAAATGAAGCATGAACAATAATAGCATCTTGGTCGAAAACATTTTCATATGTTCCATTAGGGTTTTCGACTTCATAAAAGTCTGGGTGTACTGGATATTCTGCAGGCTGATTTAACATCCTCATAAATCTATACCATGCCAAGTTGTTATATTTTGTAGAAATATAAACGTTTTCTCCAAGGTCTTCTATTTTATTGATTTTAACAGTTGCATTTTTCCTGTCATAAATAATATCGAGATGGTACTCTCCTTCGTCAATGTTATACTGGTTTGCATATTCGATATAGATGTCGTTTATTTTTTCTTGAAAAGCTTGAAGAGTTGTTTCTAAGTTTACAAGCAAACTAACTTGTAAAAGTTTTCCCTGTTCAAATTTCTCATGCATACGTTTTTCTTTGTTATAGTATCGAACTTCAAAACCGACCGTAAATGGGAAACCATGTATGGCTTCTGAAATGAACTTCATTCTACGAAAGCCAATAGCTTTTGTGACGGATGGGTCTCTTAACCATCTTAACGGGTAGTCAAAACGATAGCCTTCATGCTTTACGGTCTCTGTCTCAAACTTTTGACCTACATTAGTAAAAAGTTCATCTAATGGTTTAGTTGTAGCAACTCTTGAATTTTCTTTTTCTATTGGAAGCATATTTTATCTAGAATAAAAATGTCGAAAGATATTGCTTCCATGAGAGAAATACAACACAACCGACAACTCATTATGCAAGCTCTAAATAAGAACACAACAAACTTTTCAAACTATTCTAAGATATCTGAGTCATTGAAAGAAGGAAACTTAAAACTGACATTAAACCCAATGACAGATGAGTTTCTGTTTCAAGACAATAAGAACCATACTGTCTGTATAAATCCAACAAAAGGAACTTTAAACGAGAAACCTATAAATGAACTTCTTTTGAAAGCAGATATTGACAACAAAGCTGACAAAGAATATGTAGACGATGCAATAGCAAAAGAAGAAGAAAGAGCTAACAATGCTTATGCAACAAAAGAACATACTCATCCTGAACTAGCAGACAAAACATATGTTGACAATAAAATGTCAAGTGAAGTGACAAGAGCTGAAAACGAATATTCTAAAAGACTCATATACATTCTATATCTGAAATAACAGACTTACAAGAAACCTTAAACAGTAAAAGTGCCGTTGGACATACACATACATCTTCTGAAATAACAGACTTAAACGTTAGCCTTGAAAAGAAAAGCAGACAAGAAACCATACACATGATTTCTTCACAACTGTTGCTATAGAAAGTATTGAAGGAACGGTTGAAGAAACTGGTGGGATGCATATATTGTAAACTCCTAACTTTCCACAAGGTTTAACATCGGATGACGACATAACGACGATGAGAACATTAGATGTAAAGATGTTTATGTCATGAAGGATGAATATAATATTAAATTCACTGCTCAAGATTTTATATGACAAGAAAGCAGACAAAACAGAGCTTCAAACATTAAAGACAGAAATAATCAAACATTATATCCTATAGTTCTATTTATACGTCATGAACTCTACCAGACCAGAAAACAGTTCTGGGTTTTAGGAAACTTGGACTCAATATAGTCGACAGGTTTTTGTATTGTGCAAACTCTTCAAAGGAAACAGGTGGAAGTAAAACGATTTCAGGTGAAAATTTACCTGCACACAGTCACTACAATAGATTTAAGTACATCTCAAGCAGGTTGGCATAAGCATAAATTTTGGGATTGGTCAGCAATGAAAAAAGGTAAGGATATGATGTTAAAGACGACGTTCAGTTTGCTATAAATTGTTTCTGGGTAACACTCAGGGAGATGGAAACCATACACATCGCGTTTCAGGATATACGCAAACAACGGGACAAAGTAAGATTATATGCCACCTTACATGACAGTTTTACGCATGGTATAGAAATGCTTAGTCGTCATTTTCAACTTCTTTAGCATATTCGTCAGGAGTTGTCTTATATTTGTTAGGAACTGTCTTTGAAAGTATACCACCTTGAACTTTGACAAGTTTGAAACGAGGTCTGACAATAGTAGTTTTATCTTCTGCTTGCAGTGTGTACATTTTGCCATGTTTGCCTAAAAACTTCATAATATTCTCTTTGTATACTTTCTTCTATTTTTACGAACACGAATGTGAGTACCTGTCGAGTTCCATTGTTGTCATAGTCAATAGTATTTTCATATGGTCGCGTTTAGGTATTTCTATTTTTACTTTGTCACCTTTTCTGAAGTTTGAAGCCCGATTCTTTCTTGTTTGTCTCTTTTGACTAAATTATTAAATATATAGTCTTTCTCTAAGTCAGGGTTGTTTTTCATTTCTTCGGGGAGTGGTTTCCCAAACCTTTTTGTTTACGGTTATTGTAAATATTTAAACTTGTCTCATCTTTGCCATGGAGAAGTGTCTATATTTGTCGTCATATGACATTTTCATTTGCTTCACCACCTTGTGGTTGGTTTAAGTCTCTTAACATTTTTATACAACCGTCAATGACACCAAGAGCAGAATGGTTTTTGGTCGACAATGAAATATTGGTTTACATTTTTTGAACGCAGATAGTTTTTTTACATCATCTGATTTGAAAGAACTTTCACAGTCAGATGTCAGTTTTGTTGGATGGTATTTGTCAACGAATATTGTCAAAGCAGTTTTTCACATCTAAAATATTTTTGGACCATAATGGTATGGCTTCACAGTATCTTGTGTTTTGACGACAAATATTAACCAGTATGGAGGTCCATCTGTTCTAACTCTCGGAATGTTTTCCAAGATATCCATAAACCAAGCATTTGGTGTTGAACTAAAGATTTTTACATGAGTGCTTTCTTTGTTGCCTTAGAAACATAGGGGTCCTTGTTTGGATTCGTCATTTTTTACCCTATAAGAAATGGGTTTATTTGGCGCATTAGCAGGAGTTGCATCCAGATTTTTGCCCGCAGTTGGAACAATAGCCAGAGGTGCATTTGGAATTGGAAAGAAGATTTTGAGTACATTAGGTATACTTAAAGAGAAAGCACAACCTATTATACAAACTGTACAGAAAGGTTGGGATGTAGCACGAGATGCAGCAATCTTATTCCAAATCCTGAAACAAGAGGAAAAGTTCAAGGATGGATGGACAATGTAGGAAGACAAGCAGGAAACTATTATAACAAAGCAAATGACTACTATAACCAAGCAGGACACTATATGGACCAAGGTGAAAGATTCTTTAACAGAGGATATAACCATGCACAACAGTGGGTAAACAATAACCAACCGCAACCACCTCAAACTTGGGGAATGTAAAATTTTTTACTGAGATGAAATGAACAATACAGCATTGAGACAAATGGGTTCAAGATGGATTTGTCGGCTTCCAGCAGTTACACCACGTGTTTGTCAAGTTCTTCCTATACCTCAGGAAGTTTTAGACCGACTTAAAAAACCTAAACAACCAGTTGAAAACAAACCAAACTAAAATTTTTTACTGAGATGAAATGACCGAAGAAGTTGAAACGGTAGATTTGACACCACAAACAAAAAGTTCAGAACCATTGTCAAAACCTGTCAAAGAACTTACAGATGAAGAGAAAAATTCAATAATAGAAAGTGCCAGGTCTGGAAATACAAACCCTAACTATAAAGTCACTTTTCATAGAAATGGAACGGCTAGTATCTCAAAAAGAAAACAGACTCTCACAAATAAAATATTGAAGTCTGAAGGAGCTTTCGAGACAACAGATGGAAAAGTTTACTTCACTGACCAACAGTTCATTATAGAACATCTCATTGACTTAGAGTCGAAATATTCTAAACTTTACAACAAACACAAAAAGTTGAAAGGAAAACAAAAACAAATGGCATATGATATTTATGAAGATGTTGACAACACAACTGTTCCTGCAAGTGAAGTAAAGTCAGAGGAACCGAAAAGTGACGAAAAACCGATAGAAGAAGAAAAACCAAAAACTGAAGATAAACCAAAACCAAAGTTTAGTTTGGAAACTAAACCAAGTCAACCTTCATTAGCTGGTATGGGTTGGCGTCAAAGACTTATGGCAGCAGGCGGTTATGTAAAGTAAAGAAAAAAACATTTTTTTATTTTTATAAAAATGCCCCATATAGAATGGATAGAAAGTCTGCTAGAATAAAGCAGAGTTGCAAAGATATGGTTGGAGAGTTTCGAAGAATTTTAAATATAGGAAGGGAAGACCATAAAAGTCTATGACAATTGTCTGGTCTTCGCTACGAAATGGATTTGGAAACAGCACGTGCCATATATCCAAACAGACTAGAGAGGTTAGAAGAAGAACGTCTTATGGACATGCCTTTCGATGTTAGTGAACCTCAAGTTGAAGGACACGACGGCTTTGCCAGATTCTACTGGAAACATGACGAACAATTCATCCTTTGAGAAGGAAAAAAGGAAAAGGTGAAGACGCACATGCTCCCATGGAAAGAACAAGATATGCATATGAAAAGTATCGTGAAGTTAGAAGTCAAATTACATCTGGTCGAACCTTTACAGTAAACTTTGACGAAGGAAAGAACAAAGAAGGCTTCATGGAGTACTTGCTGCAATTCAAGACGGAAATATGAAAGGACACAATCTCAGATTGACCATAACAGATTTGGACGGTCACATTTACTATGCAAATGGCAATGAACAAACAGCCGCAAAACTTCTTGACGCTTTCAAGACTACAAAGAGAGAACAAATGGTTGACTTCCGACTCAGACATTTTTGAATGCAATTGAAGGAATTGCAAGTGTCAAGTTCGAATGGTACCAACCTAACCCTCAAGCAGTCAGACAACATGCTGGATACTTCCCCTTCATAAATAGTCTGACATTGACTTGACAAGGTATGGAATTTACAATTCAATTGAAACAATTGTCAATGAACCTTGTATTCTTACATGTCTCAGGAACTCTGGTCTTGTTACAGAAGAGAAGATGAAGTATCTTGAGTCATGTGTGAAGACAAGGTACATTCTCAGAGGTCAATTGGCAAAATTGCACCGTTGGCAAATGTCAATATCCGAGTCAACATACCTACAGCTAAAGGTTCTTCACATGACGACTATGTTGTTGAGTTCAATTTACCATGGTTGAAGATTGTAATTGTCCACAACCACTTCATGTTGAACGAAAGTCTTACAAACCCATTGTTCGGAAAAGGCAAGTGCAACATTGTCAGAGCTGTAAACATTCTTTTCGAGAAAGGTTTGTTGGAACCAATTCCAGATGACAAGCTGACAGAAACTTTTGTACCAAAAGACGAAACAAAACTTTTCATTGTTAGCAAGACCAAAAGTTGTTCCAAACAAAGTTCTAGTACAAAAGAAGTACACAATTCCACAAGGAGTTGGATTGTTCGGATACCAACCTGAACCAGAAGAACTTCCAATGAGGTTGCAAGAACTTCAAGATGCTATAACAAACTTCCATTGAGACATCCAATTGACGTCAAATTGTATTGGAGAGCATCTGAGTTAGGTCAGAAGGTTTTATATGAAACAGGTTGCTTCGACGATGTTTTGAGATAACAGGAGAAGTTTCTCAGAAGATAAGAGACTCACTTGAATTTCCACAAACTGGACCAATTGGTTGCGACAAGTTCGACTCAGATGAAAAGATATACTATGTCGACCTTAACGCTGCATACATGAGGTTTGTCCAATATATTCCGACTGGAATTCCAAACGAAGATGGTGAGTTCCCGGGAAGGAACTATACAGTTGGAAAAGTCATACAACAACTGTATGATATTAGGAAAGCTTCAAACCCCAAACTTGCAATGACACTCAAATTGCTTATGAATTCGACATGGGGATATTCCATTAAGAAACCTCAAGAGATGAAGAGTAAACATTATGAGAAGGTCGACAACTTTGTTGAAAGGTTTTCTCCTTTTGTTTTGAAGTACGAATTCACTCAAGGTCAAAGTGGCTTAGTAACCACATTAAAACCTATTGTCGAACATTGGTCTTACCCTCAGTTCGCAAAGGCAGTCCTTGACAACTACAACAAATTCTTCTCCGAAGTCAAATCGAAAGTTGTGGTTTACTATGAGAACATTGACGCACTCATGACGAACGAAGAAGGATACAACAAACTCATTGAAATGGGAATGGTCGGTGAAAAGATGGGCTGTTTTAAGCTAGATAAGGTATTTTCCGAAGTTCATGTCCTCTCCAAGCGTAAGTATTGGGGCATACTTGAAGACGGCACAGAAATAAAACATTGCATGAAGTAAAAATTTATTTTTAAAAAGTGACATTTTTTAAATTTTATTTGAAATGTACGCTGAGTTTGTTGGAGAAGACCATTGGGAAACTTGTTTGTTAGATGAGAAATAGGAAATGGCATACCATTTTAAAACAATATATTTTTACATATATTAAATGTTTCAGGTTGAAAAACAAAGAACAAAAGTAGCAGATACAAAACCGTTAGACTATATCTTTACAAATGCTGGTAGGGCAATATCAGATGAAGAAATTTCATCCCGAGCTTACAGGTTTGACTATCCAATTCGTTGGCTTCAAAGTCCTTCAGATGCAAAGGCAATAGGATTTAGAAGAGTTTTGTTTCAAATAGAACTAACGCATTTATGTTCGCAGTATATTTTCATGGGCAGTATAAAAGGTTCTGATGGTCTAATAGACAAATTTGACGAAATGAGAATCTTTACAGTTCGTTCAGACGAAAGTCTTGAGAAAACTCTAAATGACTTTCAAACTCAAATGAACAAATATTATTGGGAATTTCAAGAAAAATACGACTCTTTACTAAATGGAACATACTATCTGAAACTAGAATATGACAAGATGAACTCCACCGTTTCATTTCAAAGGATTGAAATTAACCCTCCAAGAGATACACAGTTTTTATTTTGGGAAGTAGACAAACGTTCTTGGGCACAATTTCTTCGGTTACTAAACCAGAACGAACCATTACCACCAGATGGTCCATTTAAATTTATACTTCCACCAGCAGATTTGACACTTTATAGAAACGTGTTTGACCCTCAAAATGTTATGTGTCATGCAAGTTTCAGTTCAAGCAACAATAGTTTTCTATGTATTGGTAAGGACCTTTATGACTTTGCTTCTAAATTCTACGAACCACCTAGTAACAGTTTCTCTGACTTTCAAGTTTGGTTCACAACAAATGGTGTGCAACATATTATTCCATTGTACTATGACTTTTATCTCGAATTGTCTTTCATATATAACTACGGAAAAGCGCTGAAAAAGTATTGAAAAATAATGTTTAGGGTAGAAGGTTAGATCTAACCTCTTTTCTAACCTCTTTTCTACCCTCTTGAATTTGTCATGAAAACAATTTATTTTTGACACTTTCACAAAAAACATAAAAAAGTGGAGTTAAAATGAGATGTTTACTGAACTGGTTGGATGTCGCCTTCTGTAGTTATGTAGAATGGTTGACCAGAGAAGTGAAGGAGAGACTGAATTGCCAATTTCATATGGGGTAGGGGGTTCTCCTTGTTTGGTATTTTTATCCAAGGACGTTTGTTTAGGAACTTAACAAGAGCTTCCTTCTTTGCTTGCTTTATGTCGTCGAAAGGAGTGTTTTCTGGTATTTGAATTGGAATTCCAGTCGAAGTCTCGAGATTCAAGGCAGCCCTTCCAGAAATAGTGGTAAACTTGACCTTGGGCTTCATGACCTTGCGCAAGTACTGCTTAACAACTTCATTTATCTCTATAAGGTAAATTGCCTCGTCAAATCCTTCTGGCATTCCGAGTCCTTCCATCCGACAGGAAAATATTTTCCTTCCAACAGAAAAAAATTTTCCTTCCGACAGGAAAAATTTTTCCAGTTTTCCGTCCGTAAACCATTCAAATTTTCGAAAATTGAGAACTTTTTGGTCGAACTTCAGAAAAAGTTTTTCCTTCCAACAGAAAAAGTTCTTCCTTCCGACAGGAAAAAATTTTCCATCCGACAGAAAAAGTTCTTCCTTCCGACAGGAAAAGTTTTTCCTTCCGACAGGAAAAGTTCTTCCTTCCGACAGGAAAAGTTCTTCCTTCCGACAGGACACAAACGAATGTCCGACGTCCCTCTTCCTGAATGCCTTCCAAAGCCAGAAGAACCTAAAGAACCAGCCCCTGCACCTCAGTTCCAGCAAGTACCTCCGAATTTCTACCAATTTCCACCTCAAGGTTACTACCCACCACAAGGCTTCCCGAACTACCCTCCTCCTCAGCCTATGCCTTACTTCCCCAACCCTTGGATGTTCCAGCAATTCCAATCTCAATACAAATCGAAGAGAGACCAAGAGTTCGAAGAAGGTCTGAACCGTTTACGCAAAGATTATGCTACAGCTCCAATTGAGAGAAAGTTGTTCCCAGACCAAAAAATAATGTTTAGGGTAGAAGGTTAGATCTCACCCGTTTTCTCACCTCTTTTCTCACCTCATGAATTTGTCATGACTTCTTCGTAAACAAAACGTAAATGTTTTGTCAAGAATATAGCAACCGCCGGAATTCCGACGGTTGGTTTTTATACAAAATTCATGCGGGAAATTCTTGAGTTTTGGTTGAAAGAATACGGTGGAGCCAAAAGTGGCTCGACCTCAAAACAAGCATTTTATGAGCTTACAAAGGGTGTTATGAATGAATTCAGCAACATACATCCTGACCTCGTTCATTTTGTTGCTGAATTCAGCAAAAATATAATTTAGGGTAGAAGGTTAGATCTAACCTCTTTTCTAACCTCTTTTCTAACCTCATGAATTTTCATGAATTTTACACCAAAAATAATGTTTAGGGTAGAAGGTTAGATCTAACCTCTTTTCTAACCTCTTTTCTAACCTCATGAATTTTCATGAATTTTCCCGAAATAAAAAATAAAACTAACTTTATTTTATTTATTTTTTTATTTTGTATAAAAGATATGATTTCAACAATCGGCACAACAACAATTCAAACAACTACAGCACCAAACTCGTTAGTTATGAATCCAACATCTATGTTGGTAGAGATGAAAAGCTTCATTCCTTCTTCATATACTTTCGAAACAGAAATCCAGAAGATAAAGCAGGAATTGTTAACAGGTAGTTTAGACTGTAGTGCGAAAGATGAAACAAATGAACAGTATCTTTATGACATGCAGGACATTATTGACCATTTACCCAAATTGCCTGAAATCCAACAACAAAAACTAACCATTCCTGAATTCGACGAAATTGAAGTCAAAGCAACTGACTCAGTAGAAATAAAGAAGTTCATACGAAAGGTAAACTATGAATTCCTTGGTTTTCATTGCAACCATAAGGTTATGGACAAAGATTGCGACATGGTATATAAGAATGTTTCTGACATATATAAATCGGTTGAGTTTAAGACCTACGACAACTTTGTTTCATTAGCTGCAAAATGTGTTTGGGAAATAAGAGATAAAGATAGAAGAGGTAAGGTATGGAATGAACAGATAAAACCAACTGCTTCAGATTTAAAGAAAGCCATTGACGCTTTAGTTGTTTTAGCAGGTAAGGTTTCAGAATATAACGCAAAAATGAACCCGCAATGTTCTAAATGTAAAGCAGCAATGAGGAAATATAACTACTCCGTCAAAGAGATAGAACGTATGAGAAACGACTATGCAGACTTAAAGAAAGAAGCAGAAAAACCAGCAGAAGATAAAATGGACATGTTAGAATTTCTGAACAAAAACTATCCAACAGCAGAAGATTTCCTTCTATCTGACGTCAAGAAGAAGTATAAAGAAACTTTCGGTATCGTTAAAACATTCGATGTACTAAAAGAAGAAATAGAAGCTACGAAACTGTTTAGAGTCTCACGAATTCATAACGTTTACCATGTGAAACGGTTATAAAATAACTGGGGTAGAAAAGAGGTTAGAAAAGAGGTTAGAAAAGAGGTTAGATCTAACCTTCTACCCTAAACATTATTTTTGCTGAATTCGCAACAAAATTCTGAGTAAATAATTTTTAGGGCATGTGTCAAACCGTTGAGTTTTCACAAAATTTTAAAATAACGTTTACCATGTAAAACGCTTATAAAATAACTGGGGTAGAAAAGAGGGTAGAAAAGAGGTTAGATCTAACCTTCTACCCTAAACATTATTTTTGTCTGATTTACGCTCATTACGAAGAAGTCTTGACAAAACATGTACGATGAAATCATGAAAATTCAAGAGGGTAGAAAAGAGGTTAGAAAACAGGTTAGATCTAACCTTCTACCCTAAACATTATTTTTGCTGAATTCAGCACAAAATTCTTGAGTAAAATGGCATAAGATTGCTTCCCTCGGAAAACCGAGAGAAGAGATTCCGTATGAAAATCGTGAAATTTCTCTAGGCCGTTTTTTATCGGCCTAGCCTAAAACACATGAAAATCGTGAAGAACAGCGAGTAGGGAAGAAACCGGTCTTGCATAAAACACATGAAAACAGTGAAGAACAGCGACTACGGAAAAAACCGTAGTCGCCTAAAACACATGAAAACAGTGAAGAACAGCGAGTAGGGAAAAAACCCTGGTCGCCTAAAACTCATGAAAATCGTGAAAAATTGCGACTACGGAAAAATCCGGCCTTGCCTAAAACTCATGAAAATCGTGAAAAATTGCGACTACGGAAAAAACCGTAGTCGCCTAAAACTCATGAAAATCGTGAATTTCCTTAATAGAAAAATAAAGTTAGTTTTATTTTTTATTTTTTATTTTGTATGTAAGAACAGAAAATGACAAACATTGAGTTTGAAACAGTTAGAAAGATAGACAATGACACCAAAGTGGTTAGAATAGGTGATTTAAACGTAAGATACTCAAAGAAATACAACAAATATTCTTTGTCAGACATTATATCTCCATCTGAAAAGAAAACAAAGGACTGGGTTAGAAATGCTTCAACTCAGAAAATTTTGACAAGAAATCCTGAGCTTATGATATCGGTAAAATTCTATGGAACTGCAGCATATCTCATCGACAAAAGTCTTATACCAATAGTTTTGTTATGGTTAGACCCAGTTGTTGGATATAACTTCATAACATATGGTTTATTCGACTCAGAACGTTGCAGTGAAGGCTTACTTTACATCGTTCAGAAACCGAAGGACTTCAATACAAAAAGATATAAGATAGGAAGAACATATAATATAACTCAAAGATATGACAGTACAGTCAATAGAGTCAAGGTTGTGTTTGTTAATGATATGAGAGCTGCAGAGAAACAAACTACTTGAAAAGTTTGAGAAAATGTATGGCTCCATAAAAGTAAAGAAACGTTTGAAGTAGATGAGATAGATAAAGCTATAAAATTATTTGACGAAGTGCTGAAAAAACATGTAAAGCGTTTATTTTGGTCTTTTGTGAAAGATAGAAAAAATAACGCTAATTTTATTTTTTTTATTTTTTTATTTTGTATGTAAAGACAGTAATGTCAACAACAGAGAACACAACAACTGCTATCGTTCATGAAGCTATAAATGAAGAATATGAGTACATACAGTATAACAAACAGTTACGTCTCATTCGTTCAGTCAAAGACGATATGTACCAAATGCAAAGTATTTTGACAGCATGTTTTGCTCCAGACACTAAGAAACCACAAGACTGGTTTAGGAACCAAAGCACTATTGAACTATTAAATGAAGCACAGCGAGACATACTTTTTTCTGAAAACAGTGAAGAACAGCGAGTAAGTAAAAAACCCCAGTCGCCAAAACTCTATGAAAATCGTGAAAAATTGCCAAACGGTTTGAGAGGATATTATGTACATAGACTTCTTGTAAATGCTGTTGCAATGTGGGCTTCGCCTCGTTATGCTTGGTATATTTACAGACTTCTTGACGAAATTCATAGACAAGAACGTGAAGAGATGGAAAACAAGCTTGAAGCAAAAGACAAAAGCATTCAGAAAAGAATACCACGTTCGGTACCAAAAGGAAAGAAAAGAACTATAAGTATATGATTTATACTGAAGAGATGGAAAATGAAGAAGATAAAGATATGGTTATGTTGCATTTAGTCAGAAGAAACAACAAAAGCTTTTACGACCTTGCTAAGATTTACAAATCTGACAGAAATTGGTTCTATCGCGAAAACTTACCGATTTCAATGACCCCAAATGAAGATGTGAAACAAATAGTTCAAGATACGTTACCTCAAACACACTATGATATGAAAGGTTGTACAATACTTACATTCAAAGAAGATTTGCCATTGTTAAAGGAAAAATAACAGAGTATTTTGACAACTTCAAACAAGTAGAGTAAATTGCACTCTTTATTTTTACGCTTGACTTTTTACAATTTGAACTTTGTTTGCGTAGATATGAATTCTGAAAGAAGTATGAGGTCTTGTATGACTTTGTACTTCTCCCATAGTTCATGTCTGTCAAACTTACCTGCCATGGACTCTTTCATAAGTTCCATGAAATCGTCTTCGGACAATCCGGGGAAAAGTATATGTCAGTAAGTATTCTTTTAAACATCCTTACTTAAACTCTTTGCTGTCTGTACACAAATGACAACTGAGATGTTTAAAGTGCCTAAGTTTCTTAAGAATTCGACACATATCTTGTTCTCTGTTCTTTAACAAAGATGAGAAGCAAAGTCATCTAAGATAAGAAGACATCTATGAGGGTACGTTTTCCAATCGTAAGATTGCAATTTCTTCGAAATGTATTCTATTTCTTTCTGTTTGTTTCTGAAGTGTTTCTCTCTAATATTCTCTGCATTTCCTCATTTGGGTCTTTAAACTTAGAATTTATATACTCATTTATAGCATTATACTTCAAAACTCTTCTTTGGTACTTCTTTATCCAATCTAACAACTCAGTATCCTTTATACATACTAACTTAGACTTCTTTATAATATCTTTGAACGAATTGACGTTTGGTCAAATTGACCAGAAGTCGAACAAATAACAACTAACTCATAGAATGGGTTCTTCTCATCTAGTTCTTGTTGTTGTGCAGCCATTTTAAGATAAGTGAAAGTCTTACCCGACCCAGGTGGTGCAATTAGACCTGTTATACCATTCTGAGCAAATAAGAACTTGTCATGTATAGGCTTTATCTGAGCATTTTCTAACTTCCTCTTGTTCTTGTTTAAAACATTCTCAAATTTCTTGTCAATGTCAGCAAACTTTTTTTCTAACATATTTTTAGAAAAATTAAAATTTTTATCTTTTAGAAAATGTCTAGCGATTTCGCTATCTATATTCGAGACAAACTTTTTGACAGCAAAACATCTGTCGACCATAAAATCTTACATAGTGTAAACAAGAAAGGTGAATTTGTTCTAAAGTTCTGTTTCTGGGAATATGACAAGAACCATAAAACATTAAGCAGAGAAGTCTTAAAATTTGTCAATGACAGACTTGTTGACAGAGATGACGCCTCTTGGAGAGATGAAGTCCAACAAAACTTCTTAGAATGCAAAGAAGACACATGCGCTGTTCTTGAAGATGAAATAAAAAAACAGAATATGAGCTATTAAAGGACAAAGAACTTTACATAAATATGGTTGCGCCAAATTTGACATAACTCCACCAGAAAAGAAGAAGAGAGAAAAGAAAGAAAAGAAAGTAGAAGAAGAGAAGAAAGAACCTGAACCAGTTCCAGAGAAAAAAGAAATTTGACATGTAAAAATAAAATTTTATTTTTAGAACATTTTCTGGGTCAATGTCAATGTTCTCTTCCTCTTTAGGGGCAAACACTGGCTTAGACTCTAAAATCTTTTTACCCAATTTACCTTGAACTTCAACTATCTTAGACTCATAATATTCATAGTCGTCTGCTTTCTTTGGTTCATAAGGTTATAACAAGTTTGTATGCTTTGCCTTCTTTAAGGTTTGAGAACCTTCTGTCAAAACTTTCTTTGACTGCTTAACAAACCTTCTATGTCTAAGTCTTCAAAATTTCGCACCATTTTTAGTCATCACACAGCAAACTTAACTGGTTCGATGTTTCCAAACTTTGCTGAATGAAGACTTTTCAAAATGGTAGAAGTAAATTCAAATATGTGAATGGGTCTAGTTCTTCTTTAAGTCCTGACATGTACTTGTTTACTGAAATATATTTCGTCATCTTTTCTATCGGATAAAAAAAATTTTTTTAAAATTTACTCCAGAAAAATTTTTCTTTGTATATACACCATTCTGAACATCTAAAAGACTTTTGACATTTGCCAAGAATGTACGTTTAGAAGCTGCCATATAACCATATTCTTGACAATATTGTTTATACGAATCGTACAATGACCTTTCATCTAATGACACAAAGTCAGTTTCATCTATGAACAGTTCATATACACTCTTGTTTGCTTCTAACAATGTTTGTCTCTCTTCGGTATGTGGAATTTGTCTTGGATTGAACTTAGAAATATCTAATGTCATGAAATATGAGAACAAGTGGTTGTAAAAGTCAGATGTCAAAGTTTCTGCTAAGTCTCAAATATTCTGTATCTTGCATATGAGAATCTGACGTTCTGACAACTACATATCTTCTGTCAGAACTTTCTAACTTCATCGGAACAACATTGTTTGAAACCATAATGAAGTTTTGCAACATTTTCACAAAACTCTTTGTCTTATATTTTCTTTCAACAACTCCAACTTTATCTGTTATAGACTCTTCAAAGCATCTAGTTCAAAACTTTTGTTGTATCTATACTTTGAAGTTCATTGCAAACTATAAGTTTCATATTCTCTATGAGGAGTTAAACTTGCCACAGATGTTTTCTAAGTTGTCATATTAGGGTTCGAATAACCTTCTAACAGTTTGCATAGATATCTGTAAAGAAAGTATTCTTACCTGTTCTTGTTTTCCAATTATAATGAGAGCAGTTTCATTTTTAGCACTTGGATGTTGTAAGATGTTTGCAAACCAACATAAGATATACTCATAAACCTTTTCGTTCCATTGCTATATTAACTTTGACATGGTCTAACCAAGCTTCTATAATATTTTCATTCCATTCTACTTGTTCGTATTTATATCCAGTGAAGATAGAATAGAAGTTGGAGAAGGTGTATAGAACTTATATACCTCGAACTGAAAAATCTTCTAACTTTGACAATAAGATATCCCAAGCATCTAACATCTTCATGCCAACTTGTACGACTTTTATTTTCTTAAGTTTTTGTCTACATTCTTGTTCTGAAACTATTGTTGCTCTTGGTTTGTTAAAGACAACATCCATTCTTTCATGACATAACATTCTGGGGCAGAGTCGACATAAATGACTAAACGTTTCAAATTCTCGACTGCTTTGTTATAGTCTCTAAATGGACACATATTTCTGAATGCTTGGAAGTCATAAAAATCTGAAACATCTATTCTGTACATTTTTATAAAAATAAAAAAATAATATTTTTTTATTCTTGACTTTGTTGTTGCATTTGTTCCATTTGTTGCATTTGTTGTTCTTGAGCTATTTGTTGTTGAAGTTGTTCTGTAATACAATACTTTCACCAGTTGCATCTTCCAATTCGAAACTTTCTGCCGTCATTGACAAATACATAGGACATAAAAGTTTTACAGGAACAAAGTTTGCGTCAACTAATGTCAACGTTATACTTGCCAAAGTGTTTGAGTTCACTAAGGTTGAAAATTCTGCATTCGAATGAACAATAGGCAAACCAGCAGAGAAAGTATTGTTTATACGCATAAGTATCTTTTGGTCATAATAGTTTCTGTCGACATTCGAATAACACTTTGAACCTAAGTTTGAAACAATATATAAGATTGGTGTGCTTAATGTCAATGGAATAGACAAACCTTGTATGACACCTTTTCCTGTTATAGGAAACTGTTGGTAGTAAAAACCAGAAATAAGTTTTGTATTATAGCTCATATCGTTTATATAGTAACTCAGTCGGACATCCAAACATAATGAAACCTGCTCTAGTTGCAGCACATGTTACACTCGTACGTAAAGTATTAAATAAGTCAACAAAACCTGTTGGTGGTATATCTGAGTAAGTATCTTCAAAGGAGTATTTTTTACCATTCACAACAATAAAGTCTTCTGGTGTCAAAAGAGCAAAACAGGCTTTAGTCGTCATTGTGTTTAAGGTTAGTTTACGATATCGTCCTTGAGGACTTTGTAAGTTTGTTGTTATAGAATTATATGACTCAGGGTTTTTAGTCGTAATAGTATAAACCATTATGTCTTCTGCCATTTATATATATTTAAAAGTTTTTCTGAAAGTGGAGAAGAACTTCATCTAAACTTTCACATGGCGTTTCTTGAAGTTCTCTGTCTAAGAAGTTCAAATATTTTGTAAAGACATAGAACTTTCCTTTGTCTACACGAACAAACAAAACAGGGTCTTTCATATCGTTCAAAAGTGTGTAAAGTCCTTTACATGAAATAAAGTCTATATTATTTTTCTTCAAACATCTTTCAAGAAGTTTTGACATTTTTACTTAGCAAATAAATTTTAATGAAATGTTGTGGTCGTCAAATATTTTTATAACGTCTGGGAAACTATATTTAAGTTCAACGTTTCACCTCCTTTCATAACGTATATCTTGTCAATGACATTATATGAAACACCACAGCAACTAATGTCGGGTTCTATTTCTTTGATGTTTATATCGTCTGCCTCTGTCAAAAGTTTCAATAGTTCTTTCAAAACTTCATGAGGTGCAATGACATATGAGTTCACTTTTACAGGGTTGTGTTCGACCAAGTTTAACATTATACTTAAAGCTTGACAAATCTTCTCCTGAGTTTGAAGTTTGTCTTTCAGTTGTTGGTAGTCGTTTCGAATATCTGCAACAGAACTTAAGTCTCTGCTAACTTCAGGATATGTTGGTTCTTTTACAGGAACAATTGTTATACCATCTTCGTCTTCGTATGGTTTCCCCACTTCAACATCTCTGTCTTTGACATTGACAACAACACTTTGACTGTTTGTTTGAGTTGGTGAATTTAACTTCACATCTGCCACCGCCATTAAACCTTTTGAAACACTTATGCTTCTATTTTTTGGAAATGACATTTTACTTAGAATAAAAAGATGGACGTATTCGGATATCTTATTGAATTGAAGCAGAACAAAGTTTATACTCACAAACAATACAAATACATTGACAGAATAGTTCTTTACACAAACAATGGAAAATGTTATAGAATAGCAATATTTGCTGAACCAAAAATATTTTCATAAAGCAAAGAAAGTTGGTATAACCGAGATGGTGAAAGTTCTTGAAGCAGACAAAAATATAACTTCAAAACTGACCGATATTACTAAAGGAAAGTTTATAATACAATATTATGTCAAAACTGGCGTACTGTCAATATTTGACGGAGAGAAGTCAGTTCAAGAACAACTTACTGACCTGCTGCCAAAATCTGCTCGATGGAAGCTGTCGTTATGCCAATCTGAGGAGCCCCAGCAGGTTTCATCGAACGAATCTTCAAAAGAGCATCTTCCGTGAAAAGTGCTATTGGTTTTGTAAACTTCTTTGCTCTCAATTCATCTGGACCGTCTCTGTCACCAGTATATTGTATTTGAACTGTACCAACAGTTGAAATACCACCCATAAAGTCTTCTGAGTCAGCAAATGGAATGCCAAGCCAAAAGTTTGAACGGTCTCCATTTGTATATTGAGTTTTTTGACTTCCTGTATGAGTCCATACTTTCACATATGGCATAATAGAACTTTGCATTTCAGGGTTAATGGTTGTTGTGAAGTTGTTGTTAAAGTTCATAGCATCTAATGTCAAGTTGTATGACCTCATATCCTCAACTGTAGAATATTCTTCTCTTGGATAATATTTGCCATCTATGTTTATATGATATTTAATACCAGGGTTGTAGAAACAAGAATAGTCATTTATAGTTCGTCTCTGAACAGTACAAACAGAGTATCTGCATGTTTCATTGCAGTTGTTAAAGCAATATCTGTTCTTGCACCTGGGTCAGCACTTTGGTTTCCAACTTCACCTGCAAAGTCTTTGACAGATATTTGGTGTATAGGGAACATAAGTGGAACTGCAATATATTTGGCAGCTAAAGCATTTGAAATATCTGGGTCCAACATATAGACTGCAAGTCTGCTTTCTATTCTCTTGCATTCAAATTTTTCGCATGTGAACTTAACTGGGTCCCAAGCATCTCCAGCAGCATTGAAATAATAGTTTACTTCAGTGTTGAAGTTTGAGAAACCAAAGTCTAAGTCAACTTTATCTTTGCAAAATTCGGCGAATGACGTTTGATTTGTTCCCTTTACGTCTGTAAGAGTGAATGGGTCTTGTGTTGGTGCAATGACTAAGTTATTTTTGCTTGGAGTAAGTTCGATAGAAATTTTTCCTGCCCAGTTTGGCAAGTATCTTAAAAACCTGAAGATGAGGAAAGATGACAAAGGAACTCTAAGTTTCAGTTTTACTTTAGTGACAGCAGTTCCATCTGAACCAGAAAGGTTAACATAAACTCCTGGAACGTTAGGGTCAAGTCTTCTTATTTTCTCAATAGTTGCATACTGGTC